TTGTATTTTCCGAGTCAATCCAATCACCAACTTGTTGATACAACGCACAACATGGTTTATTGATTTTCCCGAGGGAGGAAAATGCGCAGTAGAGACATTTCCCGACCGGCAGGAATCCTCCAGTCTGTACCATGAAAGCACGATAAAAACAACGAAATGGAAGATTTGATTTTGAACATCATCAAAGAAGCGTCAGCTGCCAAGCTGACCTACCTGAAACAAAAGGCACAAGAAGCACATGGTGAGTTGATGAAATGCCACGATCAGAACTTCCATTCATGATAAATTTATTTTTTGTCGACTATTTATAAACGAGTTCAGTTTCAATGGTTATTTATGTATTGAGAACTCAATAAAGTATGCTTTTATGGACCGCAGCATGTAAGCTAGGTCCATAGAAGCAAGTTATATGTCTGAAATACATACAAAATTTAATATACGAACGTTTCAGACATTCATCTACTGTCAATGTGGCATTAAACTCTAATGATTTTGGGTTCACTTGACCAAACTATGAATACTACTGTCGGAGAGAGATCGAATGGTAGTCTACTAGAAATAACTGAAGAAAACAGTGAAATTATTCCTTAATCACTCTATGGCGCTAAAGTCCTACTTTACGCCCGCGAATCCGGCCGATAAAGTAGCATTTAACGCCGGGTCGTGCACAATAGTTATTTATCCACGACTGTTGTATAAAATATCCACCATAAATGTACTTCCTCAAGCAAAACGGTAACCATTTTTCATGCCAGTGAATAATAGCAGTGAATAAAGATAATCCACTGGTCTAGAGTTCCTAGGAGTGATATTCTTTTATTCTGACTCACTGACACATTTCACTTGAACTGAATTGAATCAGTTGACATGCATTGTACATAATGAACGTAATCCGAAAGAACGATTCAGTTCATGTTCTAGAGAAATATTTCAGTTAGTTCAGATTTAAAGAATATTACAAGGGAGATATAAATACACCTTATTATAGTTTAGTATTGGAATCATAAACACTTCAGTTAAGTATTCTTGTTTTGATCAGGGAAGCCTTCAAGATTCAAATACGTGCTTGATCTGTATTTCATTCGTTATTCTCGGGATGGATAACTTGTTTTTGAATAATCACGGCAAGCAATAGTTTTTTTGTCTCAAACAACGATATTGTTTAGCTCCATTTGATTATCAAGTCAAACACAGTGTAGTATGGAGAGGAATAAATAATCACTATTATCATTGTTGATATGCTCACTAACCTAACATTTTCCACGTCTTGTTCCTATAGCTGGCACTGGCGCGGTATTTGCCATTAGAGCACCTGGTCCATACACAAATATGTCACTCTGTGGTTGTATTTATATTGAAACTACAATTCGAACATCCTAGAAAACCTAACCTGCTGTTAATGCAGGTAGAATATTCTCACATGGATTATTTGTCAATATTTGTTGCATTGCATACATATGGCACGGCATTGGTGGTTACTTCACATGTTTATTTGAATTAATTGTTTCAGTTGCAGAAAAAATAGCATGTTTCATTCGGATCAAAAGTGACTTTGTTTGACAATGTACATAATGAACGTAATCCGAAAGAACGATTCAGTTCATGTTCTAGAAAAATATTTCAGTTAGTTCAGATTGAAAGAATATTACAAGGGTACAAAAAGCATCAAATCCAGTTCAGTTTTCCCTCCTCTTCACGATCACTTTAATGAACTCTGCCAATTATTACATACAGTGTGTTATTTCAATATTTCGAATAAATGTAAATTTTTCCTGAAGCCGAACCTGGATTTTCACTTCGCCCGATAGGTGAATGAATTCAACGTCCCAAGTATACGCTCCATACCATATTTCAGGGAAATATACTGGGTAGTACAATACTTATAGACGAATGAATAATTATTCGAAATCGACAAATCACCCTATATCTCCGTTATAAAGACTCTAGGACCTATCGAATATGGTATTTTCAGAACCACCTTGGTGACCTCTATGTACCATTGAAATATTTCCCTTTATCTGTGAAACACCCAGAATAAGATTGGAGTATATAAAAAGAAGAAAACGATCCGAATAATGAAATTGAACATAAAAAATACAAAACAATAACAAAAAAACAAATTGAATTTGATCCGAATCAGATTGAGTATTGTCCTTTTTTGGTTCATATCATAAAAGTACCTCTATGTAAATTCATTACTCAATATCTCTGTAATCATTTAAGATAGACCCCAAGTGTGACGTATCGATGAAATCAGCTCTTCAGGCAAAATCTAAAGATGCAATGAAATACAGGGTCTTCCATTCGAATATCGAAAGTTGATACCCTTTCCGCTTCAAGGTTTCAACTTTGGGATGTGGTAGTTACAGAAAAATGTGTCCCCCGCCAAATTTAAATCGACCTGTCCGAGTGATTTTCAATTTTTTTGACGACTTTGGTGATAAGTGGGAGGTGGCAAGTTTTTGCTGGCACACACTGTTTATCTTCACATAACTAGTCAGAATTTTGAAAGTATCTAAACGGCATTTTATTGTTAGGCTTCAAAATGCGCAATTTTCCTCCTATATAACCATCTTCGTATCTCTTATGTCGAAATCCCCATGATAAACATCATTTCTTCATCTTAGACACGGTTTATACCAAAAACTTCCACATCCAATCAAATGGTTCAAAAATTGAACAATGGAAGTTTTGCTTCTGCAGACCTCTTATCACATATTTGTGATAGGATTTCCTCGTACAACTGATGAATAAAATAGAATATTGCTTAACGAGCACAGAATGATAGTCACGAGAATGAAGTTTGCAGTGGGAAATTAACATTCTCTACGAGTTATATACTATAATTTTTCTACGGCTGTAACAGATAACAGCGACATTTCTGATATCTTCGTCTTGTAGCTATCTGATTTCCTCTCGAGTTATGCTCATCTGTTTGACAAAGCTGTCATTGCTTGAAATTTGACACTCCATGAGCGATTATATCATTTCCGAAATTATAACACAATATGGAGTCATCGTGATACACAAATTAAATTGATTACAAAGTACCTCATCGAAATATCGAACACAGTAAAACAAGAGCGATTTTGTGTTATAGCCGTAAAAAATAGTACATTCTTTTACTAGGATCAAAAGTGACACTATGTTTGACAAGCGAATTCTGCATTTGCGAGGCGGAGTGTCTAGCGAAGCCGAGCGAAAGCGAAATTTGTGAGTCAAACAAAGTCACTTTTGATCCGAATAAAACATGCTATTTTTTTTGCCACCGAAATATTTAACTGAAATAAATATGTGAAGTAACCACTAATGTGACTTACTTGACAGATTATTATAATACCTTCATTATAATAATATAGGTGAGTATAGATAGAAGCAAGACCTCAGGCAACTCCAAATTAGAATATTGGTGGACGATAACTTTACTATTTCTACTACTGCTATGAAAAGTTGCGCATTTCTCATAGCTTACTTAGTATTGATCATACTGTGAAAAGTATATTTTCCCACGGCACTTTACCAACACCACATACATTTCCATCGAGAATCAACAAAACCGACCAAAACTCAATTGGCTGCTGTTCAGCTTTGAATAGTTGTCACAACTGTCAAAAGAGGTTTTTTAAATTCTAAAGGGTAGGTACTCAGTTCTCATTAGTGCTTTTGATAGAAATCGCAGTTTCCATCAAATATTATTCCAACAATTCATAATAAATAGTATGATGTATATACCGAGATGTGACGATTTCGATAAATACACCGCCAGAGATATAGGTAATGGAATAAGCTGGAAAAAAGTATGGATTGGCATACATGAAAAATTTATGGAATCTGAAAAAAATACAGAAATAAAATCTCTTTCGGGAAGTGTACTTTTTTTAAATACTTTGAGGAACTAGGAAAGGCGTCTACTCTTTGGTCACAATATTCAATGTAGCATAGTGCCACATTATAAAATGAATACCAATAATTTACATTACTTGGATTCTTTGGAGGATAAGTGCAGTTGTAGAAAAAGTATAGTGTGCAACATGTGGGGAAAAACTCACCTTTCATCACGAGTGTGGAAGTTTGTGGCACGAGCCTGAAAGGCCAGTGATGCAAACCCACTTGTTGCACAATATACTATTGTTACAATTTCTGTTGACATGCATTATCAGATATTACTTGCACGAATTCATTACCATACCCAAAACGTGGATGCCGTGCCATATGTATGCAATGCAACGAATAATCAGTGTAGTGAGAATATTCTACCTGCATTTACAGATCAGGTTTACTCAATTTCCAAGGATGTTCGAATTGTAGCTTCAATATAGATACAACCACAAAAAGACCCATTCGTGTATTCTATTGAATCGATAAATCGATGGATTCATTTGGACCAGGTGTCTACCCTATTACCAAATACTGCACCAGTGCCATGTATAGGAAAAAGGAGTGGAAAATGTTAGGTTTGTGAGCATATCAACAATAATAATAGCGATTATATATTTCTCCCAATATTTCACTGTGTTTGGATCGATAATCAAATGGAGGTAAACAATAACGTTGTGTGAGACAAAGAACTATCGCCTGTCGTGATTATTCTAAAACAAGTTATACAATCAATCAGATCACGAGAAAGAATGTAATACAGATCAAGCAAGTAAGTGAATCTTGAAGGCTTTTCTGATCAGAACAAAAATACTTGACTATAATATGGTGTATTGACATCTCCATCATAGGTATGAAATCCCGAAATCGGAAACAAATCAAGTCAAATAACCAACCATAACAATGTTGTTTATTATTTATGACCTAGAACATCCTTTTTAGTTCCTAGGAGCTAAAATTCAACTTCAGCTCCTAGGAGCTGAAAGTGTTGCCTAGCAACATATCTATGTTTGTGTCAGTAATAGAAACGTCCATTGAAGAGCTAAATTTGGTATTGAAATGGACGACTTTTGTGTCGGTTGCAGAAGAAGGAAATTATTGCTTTATGTGTTCATAAATATTGTAAATCATCGTTTGTTACAGACTTGCTGGCAGCACAAAACAACCTGCTCAGGAATCCCTCTCACGAACTGAGAGCAGCATGCTTTTTACCTTTGAAGTTGGCTTTGGAAAGCAAGAGAAGCAAGCTTGTTTCACTGTCTCTAACCGGATTGAATGTGAGTTGACTCTCGTGGAACCTTTGGACAGGATTTTATACAATTTTGGTTATTAATAGACACACACTTTTTCAGTAGCCGTTTATGTAGTTTATGCCGAAAACAGGGGGAAAATGTTTATTAAATAGTATGAAAAAGTTGAATGAATGATTAAAAACCTATTACGAATTTTAATGGTTTTCAAAATTAAAACAAGTCATTCGATTACAAAGACTGTCTGCATGAATCATCATCGTTAGGTCGTTGCAATCATAATGAGAATATATAGTTGATGCAATATTGCTATTGGAACTGAAATGGAAGGGTCACTTTGTAGCTTACGAACAATTTGTCAGTAGGTTTATCTGTTATATTGTCAACAGGAATATAGCAGCAGGAGTGATACAATATTGTATTTTCATAAGGAAGAATGCGTCACAATATATTGTGGAAATATTCTGTAACATAACATGTTTAGTGGGTTGAAAATGCGCAGACGGTATGCCGTTTTTTCCGTAGCATATGTATACGACCGTGATTACCTTCTGTCTTGTATTTGTCTTTGTATTTTCATCTATACTCACATAACTAAAATGGCATTCAGCGTACGGATATGTACCACGCAAAATGATCGATTAATCACGAATTGACGATCTGTGATTCATTCGAAATATTAAACACGTTACCATGGCAACACGATTTCTCAAACACATTACCATGGCAACACAGTTCATTAAACACAGCTTCAGTAATTTGAGACATGTCTGGCCTGTCAATTGTATCAAAACTGTCACCTGTTATTTTCAAATTTCGTATCAGAATTATTCAAACAATATTCGTTTGTATCAGAATTCTTCATCAAAAATATATGCGAAATGTAGACGAAAGTGAAATCGAAAAGAATGTTCTGGTACTTGCACTACTACTATCTCGAAAGAAATGTGAAAAAGAAGCATCCATCTTTGAGAACAATTTATCCATTCTGCGCTATGCATGACAATAAACGTGAAACAAAGGTTAGTAAGCAATGGACTGGACACTACATCTACAACCAATATCACTTATACGTGTCTCGATGGTTGCATGCAGTGGCATGTATTATGTTCTCAATTCCTATTCCTTTCGAATTATTTTGTAGGTTAGCAGGAATAGCAGGTATGTTAATGTAATTTTCGGAGTTCGTAGAAAAAGTATGGTATGTAACGCGTTTATAAACTCTTCTAGGCACTCGTTTGTTAAACACTCGCTCCGCTCGTACTCATAATACTCGTTACTAAAAGGACGTTTATGATACTTGTCACATAATATAATATTTTCTTTTAGAAAATAATAAGAGACGAGCGCTTTCAATCGGGTCCCGAGCCAGAAGACGACTCCCTGTGGCTGCCCGCCCAACTCCTGTTCGCCACTTCGTCCACGCCTGCGCAATGCGAGGACACGCAAGTCCACGTGCTGCGCGTCGTGCTCAGTCTCGCGTGCTCAGCTGGATGGGCGCTCAACGGACGGCTCGTCATGCTGATGCTGGGCAGGTGCGCAGAAGCGTACGACGCAGGCACGCAGCCGGTGAGAGCGGCTGCGCAAGCTGCGGCCAGTCAGACTCTCACGGCGTTCTGCACGTTTTTGGGTGAGTATTCAGTCAGGGCCTACTCTATCTCACCGGGCCGCGTATATCCTAAATCCAATGTTGTACAGCGCAAGTAACGCCTCCATCGACTCTTATTGGTCAATTCAAAATCTAATCGGTGACAACGTACTGTTTCAAAGTCTAATATGATGCAACGCAGCCACAAAACATATTTTGAGACTTCTAGGGTCCCTTGATGGAAATTGACGTTGAAGTCATCTTAACAGGGTACGGACAGATCCTCGTCTCCTCTCACTCTAAAGTGTTTGTGAAACAGTTATATAGTTCCATCCTTGTTCAATTCTGGGGATAAACACTAGATTTTTGACATTCGTTGTTTTTTAGGTTATATTGAGGTCACTGGCGTATCATACGTAATTTCCATATGGAATTCCTGATTCACCTATACCAAGATATAGACAAACAATCCTCTAGCTTCAGAGTTAACTACTCAAGCATAATCTTTACGAGATAGGGAACATATAAAGTGTATTGAAAGCTTAATATATTTCACCAAAAGATACTGTTCTTAGACTGTATACCAGGATTGACTGAATTGACTGAATGAATTCTGATTTCAAGCTGAGCAGTAGCTTTTCTATGAGCTGAATGAGCTGAGCCTTATGATTGAGAAATGTTGGAAACCTCGATGATGTGGGTATCTAAACTACTGTACTCATGTCATGTGTGCTAAATATATTTTCGGAAATCCAACTCAGAGAAGAATTTATGGAGTGACTAATATCACACTATGAATAAAACTTCGTCTAGGACGAAAAGTAGGCTGATAAGAAGTAATACGTACAATGTGCAGGAAAATCAAGAATAGAATATACTTTACCCCCATGTTATACGATATGATTTTTCTGTCTCCCTTAAATAAAAAAGTCATTTCCGAATAATTTATTGATGAAAGTAACAAAGAAGTAGGTATATGCAGTATAACTTATAGGCACTACGTTATTTTCACTCTTGCATCCTACATATTTTCTATTTGTGGTAGAGTAATGATTATATAAACTAATGTCTTTCGCCATATTGGATTCGTCATCTTGAAAGAAAAACCCCAGATACCAATTTTGAATAGAATCGGATCTTCATTACAAAACTCGTCCACCATATTTGATTCACCATCTTGAATATCCCAATTATGACTAAATAATTATAATCTCCGACCCCGGAAATCTCCAGATACCAATTTTGATTTTTGAATAGAATCGGATATGATCTTCCTCAACAAGTAAATACCCTGTACATACCTATTATTAAAATTTTTAATGATTTTCTGTAGCGCCCATGGATGTGACGTGATAGCAATGTCAGGGATGCCAGTAGACAAAACTAAAGTATCTAGATCATTAAAAAAGAATGCAGCTATGATCTGTCCGTACCCTGTTAAGATGACTTTAACGTCAATTTCCATCAAGGGACCCTAGAGACTTCAACATTGGACTCCTAAATGCACACGGATACAACGCAACCTACCTAATTCAGTTTGGAAATGTGGAATGGACGTCAATAAAACAAAATAAACTGAAACTTACGTATATGTATGCAAGTTTTCATCATAAGTCAAGCACAGTTCAAAGTCATTATATCAATGAATTTCAACATTAGGTGTATTGGAAAAAAATTTTACGGCCAAGGAATGTGATCTCTTCGCTGGTCTACCATTCTGAACTCATTCAGCACCAGATTACGATCTAATGCGATCATTTCTTCCAGCACGGGCAGTTGGCTGCACTTTTATAATCCTTCCTTGTCTGACTATAGGTCCCCTGATTGCAAAAAATGTGTTCAATTGGCTGCCAGTATTGATTTGTTTAAAGAATTCGTGAATTTTCTGATAAGATTGATATCACATGTTTCACTTTCCGCTGAACTGGAAATTCTATTGAACTCGCATTTAAAATCAGCCACCGCTGTTTCTTGTTCTTCGTTAATCTTATCTACAAAAAAAGTAAGGTAGCAAATTATTCTGAGAATGTTTGAAACAACTCACGAGGATTATTATTATTGTTGGCCAAATCAATTGAAACCTCTTGGGATTGGGAATTACGAAAATCCTCAATCAAAGTTGTCATATCAAGTGGTGACTCTTTAACAGTATGGAGCATGCTTTTGAAAAAACAGTTGTATCTTTCGCCGGTTGCAAGGTACACGAGTATATCTTTATCAACATCCGTTAATAACAGGCACGTTGACAGCTTTGAACCTGAGAAATTTTGTACGGCATATAAATGTTTACAAAAAGCGCCTCCACTGGCACAGTCACACAATGAACCTTCTACTATCACTGTATAAAATAAGTTTCGATCTATGGACGAGGAGACCAACTTCAACTATGAGATTTGACCCAAATTTCTTCAGTTCCAAATAGTGCAAATCGTTTTCACTGTCTGTTGCTAGCATATGGTATCAAGCGCATTTTATGATAGCTGTCAAGAATGAAAGCAATTAAATCTGATAATGCTACTGCATTAAAGGCCTTGCATCTATTTAATATGATGTCTTTCAGAATCCTTGTTGAGGATTCTTCAAAAATATTTGCATTATGTCCTCTAGTACATAATAACTTTCTGTACCAGTGGCACAACTCAGTTCTTCTTCTCCATACACATTTGATGTAATTCACAAAATAACCATACTCGCATGATGAAATTAATGTATGATAATATTCTTCGCGTTCTTCTCCAGACTGTGCAAATATAATTCGTCCAGAAATCTATCATCAATTTTCTCCTTTCATCCTTGTTTAGAGGTTATAGCGAATGCTTGAAGTCCAGATAATGACGTCCAGAAGTTACCATCCCTGTGACGTTGGAAAGACTACGTCCTTTTGACGTCATGATTCGAACAAGTGACGAACGGGACAATAAATAATGCCCAGAATTATAGCGGTCCTATAGATGTCATATCCGTCAGTGGCTAGACGGCTCTAGACTTACAATTTTTGAATCGAATTTGCTTCATAACTTTTAAACGGCCCATGGAATTCAACTAAAATTTTGTACATTGGACTAGTTTCATTGAGGAATGGAACCCATATCATGATTATGATGAATATCATTCCATGGGCGTAGAACTTGATTTTTTTGATGAATAAACATCTGAAACTTTTACGCCAATGCACAGAAAGGGGTTTGAATATGATATCTGGATTGTGTATCTTGTTAACTACAAAAAACGCACTCTTGATGGAATTCGATGCCTCTCATGGTTTCGACAAAATTTGAATTCTAGAAATGCATTTGAAATGTTCATAATTTCCACGTAGACAAAGTTTTATACGACGAAAAAGTTTCTGAGTCTGGGCGCTAGGTGGCTCTGTTTTACACAGTGTGAAAAAAACAAGAAAAAATATCTGATTCCCATATAACTTTAAATAAATGTTCTTCAGATGAGGAATGCCAAGAGATTCTGCAGCAACAACAAAAACATAAGAATTCTGGAAGCAGCGCTGAAATGGTGTATACCAAAACTTCAGCAGTATCGTGTTTCAATGAAGCCATTCCTGTTATGCAATACATCTGCAGCAAACTGGAAGAAACCAGAACGTAAGTATAATGATGAGTACTTCCATATGTACAGGATGTTCTGAAAAGAGAGTTTTTTTTGGAGAGGATATAGAATTCTTCCGGATATCGCTTCGATATTGGATATTAGTTGCATATTAACAAAGATATTATCGATCGATGATTTCGTGAATTTAAAAAGAATTTTATCACGGCTCCAATGGTCCTACGAATCTCTGTTTGGTAAATACCCAGACAGCAATAGATATTCCTAGGATATTTTCTGAATATGCTGAAAATGAACATATTTCAAAGTGATATGCAAGGGATATGCAAGGGATATGCAAGGGATATTCCTGCATGAATATTCAGGTGAATATTCTAAGAATATCCTAGTTGAATTGCTCAGGGAATATTCAGCTATGAATCTTCAGGATCCTGAACAAAAAGGGTCTTTTATATTGAAGTGGTCCTTAATGAGCACCATGAGTCGTATATAGTGGAATTGATAACGACATTCAGATGAAATATAATGTGCTACAAGGCCTAATGGTCGTCGGAGACATCGGTCAAACGAACTTACAAACGGGGTGGAGTATTGAGTGGGTCGGGGGATTCCCACACTATCAAATGGACGATTATACTCATATGATGATACTTTCATTTCATTCAGAAATCGAATAAAACCATTGAAAAGCAATGTAATATATGATAACCGCTTACTCTACACCCTGAAGACAAATGTACGCGGGGTGGTTAGCCTTCGATCCTACCAAAATGTTCGTAGAACATATTAGATTGAGTATTTGTGCTACGGCGCATCGTATCCACCCTATACGTTCCACAATGCCGTCCGTCCGAACTTTTCTCACATCATTGGAACACCATAGAAGAGTCGAAGACATTTCACTTTTTGATAGATACTTCACGAGAAATGTTTCCCAGGAAGCATCCCTTCACTACCAATACCAGTCAGACGAACTCGACAGGCCCAGTCGGCACAACTTTTCTTTGTTCACCTTGAAATATTGCGAACAACGCTCCACCAGAATTCAGTTGTCTGTAATACGGCGAAGCTTTCGAATTCTATGACAATGGAGGTATTCCCGAAGATTTATAACATTCAAAAGTTCAAAAAAATTCAACACCTACCTCTTCTCCCTATCCTCCCTAGGTATGCACGATGTTCCATAGCATATTATATACGAAACTTCCTTTCGTGCGCTGCACAGGACCAAGAAATAGTTGCAATGTTATCATTCCGATAAAATGAACGATATATTCATGATTCAGCTGACCTGAACATGCATCGATGCATCGATGATCAGCTTTATCACTGCTGAATTCCAAATATTTCATCTTGTATCACGTCCGATGAAATTACAAGCTCACTTGTTGCTAGCAGAAAGTTGCATTTGCTGTATAAGAGCTGACCCTCAACACTGCTTTAATTTCGGATATTGTGATCTCTCTTGAAATATTCCACCTTTATGTTTCAGACTGACGAAATCTTCGGACCAGATTGTTTTTCTCCTGGAATGTTTGCTAACTTTTGTCAATACACTACCGCAAACAGTGCATTCAAACATTCATTTCACCACATTTCTTTGGCAACGTTTCTGTCCGGCCCTGTTGGCGTTTCTGGGAATACCAGGAGACTCATCCAGACAACCATTGACCTCAGGTCAATCTAAAATAGTATACAGGTAAGTTGTTTCATGACAACTAACGCTCTCCTGGTGGTATACACGGCCCTGCATACTTGCTCCGGAAAATATTATGCAGTGTGCTGAAATATTAGTCAATAGGCTAGAGGAGTTCTGAATCAGTATCGAATATACTTCATGATGTCTTGGAAGTAGCTCCTGAGTAGGCGTATATGTTGTAGAAGGAGTGGCCAAAGTGGGGCGAGGTTGCAAGTCAGTTTAAGGCGTGAACACGCTGTATATGTCTCTCCAAAGTCAGTGCATCCAATAGCTCTGTCACCTCCTTCCGAACCAACGCCCAAAGCTGTTCTATCTCCGTCCCACTTTGCTCACGTCTTCTGCAATTCATATACCTACAGGCTAACTGATAAAAAACGCACCGAGCCGATTTCGAGAGAAAAAGGCGGACAATACTAATAATATAATAAAAGTGGCCAACGTAACCTCGTCATTGAAACGTCTGTATTCAATCCACGACCGCAGACATTTTTCTGGTGGCCTCAGGAAGTAAAGTCATCTCTTTCGGCAATTTTGTTTTGGTATCAGTATAACACGACTTTATCACACAATGTAATTAGTCAGGAAATACATACAGGCACTGAGTGTATATATTCGTCTTAATGGAAGACGATATGAGCGGATATATGCTACGCATGATCATCTCTACACAATTACATCATTCGAAATCACACAAGCGGATTCAACCCCGATTGACATTCAAAGAAAACATTACATATTGAGATTCTGGCCCAGAATTCTCCTAGCTCATCTACTAGAATTTTCGTCCAGAATTCCCACAGCTTATCTACTGACGATAATTGTTGAAGTTCACAACAACATGCTTTTATCCATAGTTTGATACATGTATCGATAATTTTCGGAGCATGATCATTCAAGTGGTGAGATTTTTTAAAAAGGAGAAAGCTCTACGACAGTTTCAAAGGCACTTTCCTACATAACGTTGGTCAAAGCTTGAAATGTTGAACATGACGCCCTAGGTAGACTTTCCTCCTGTTTAATTGCTCAAGTTATAATAAAGACGAGTATGACAAAATCTATAAGCGAACCATCTGTATGACTAACCCCATTTGTTTGCAAGCTAAGCTAGTTGTAGACCTTTTCCAGAACTCCAGACTAAATCTCAATAAAAAAATAAATAACATTTTGGGCCAAAATTATCGTATCTGGTTTCCTGATCATGATTATCGAAGTTATCTACATAGGTACTTTTATACAAACAGGATTTCTACATAACGTTGGTCAAAGCTTGAAATGTTGAACATGACGCCCTAGGTAGACTTTCTTCCTGTTTAATTGCTCAAGTTATAATAAAGACGAGTATGACAGAATCTATAAGCGAACCATCTGTATGACTAACCTCATTTGTTTGCAAGCTAAGCTAGTTGTAGACCTTTTCCAGAACTCCAGACTAAATCTCAATAAAAAAATAAATAACATTTTGGGCCAAAATTATCGTATCTGATTTCCTGATCATGATTATCGAAGTTATCTACATAGGTACTTTTATTCAAAGAGGATTCTGATTCAGAATCCTCATAGCTCATCTACTAATGATAATTCTAAAATTCGTAACAAAATTTTTCTCTATTCAATCAAGAATTTTTTTAGCATCGGCATTCAAGTGGTCAGACTGGTCGGAAGGGAAAGAGCTCTACGACCCGTTTTAGAGGCCCTCTTCCACAGGATGTTGCTGCTGCCAACTCCAGCGAAGAGGCTGGAGCCGTTAAGGGCGGCTAGGGAGTTGCTGAGATCTCCCGGCCGATTGGCAGATTTGCTTTTACTCAGCGGACCAATTCAAAGACATGCAGGCGATGATATGGCAATCATAAGACTGTGAGTTGAAGATGGTGAATGACTAGTGCGGTGAAGTAGAAATGACAGATGATATTTTCTGCAAATTTCAATTCCTCCTCAAAATTATATATCGACTGTGGATAAATCTATCTGGAGAAACATATTCTCACCTCAAATCTCCTAGAGTCAAAAATTTTTTTGATTTATAGTGACGACCCTGGAAAGTTTTGACCTGGAGGAATCTGGTATCGATATCAGTAGTTTTTTATTTTCTGACATGAACTGACTTGTATTTGCTTGTATAAATCATTTCAACCGTATGAATATTTGGATACGTGACAATGATGAACCCTTCAAACAATGCTTCGAATTACTAAAATCCAAATTTTCTCGAAACCATGAGAGTTATTGCATTTCATCCAGGATATCTTTCTTGTAGTCACGCAATTCAATTCTCATATTCGAACTCTTTTCTTTTTCATTGTTGTAGATTTTAAAATCTGTTGAGTTGTTTCCAAGTTATGGAGCAAAAACGATGAGAATTGTAACTTCAGAGCCGTCTAGCGCCCAAACCAAGCTATTTCGTTACTGTTTGTATCGAATTGTTGTGGTCAAACGAACATGTGGTGGGTTTTAGTGAAGACATTTCAGGGACACCCTGTATATTTCTCAATATCGATTTCTCAATGCCGTGATATCAGCGTGTTGCTGGCTAGTAGAAGCGCTCCTAGGCTGGCTATAAGCCCTCTGCTCTAAACCGATTTTGTGTTTTCATGTTCCTTCGTATTATAGATGGGTAGGTAGATAGATTATTTCATCTAACCACTTCACATAATGTTAGGTATATTTGTAGCAGGTCAGTAAGGTTGATTATCAACATGAATCAAAGTAAACATGTATGGTTGAATATTATAGGCTCATACAAGTACCTAGTTACGGCGAAAAAAACTGAAAGAATCAAATGATTGGTGTGTTTAGAATTAATGAATCAAAGCACTCGATGCTCAAATCCTCATCAGTGAATCACTTCCTGTTTCTTGCAGAGAATAGAAGATGTGAGGCGCGTTTCATGTTTGCAGAACTGTATTTCAAATTTTCCAATGTTCATATCTCATCGTTTCATAAACAGGATAATGGACTCAATAGAAGAATCTTCCCAATGCAGTGATACCAGCGTATTGCTGGCTAGTATAGAATGCGTAGGAGCGCTCTTAGGATCGCTAGAGGCACTCTGCAAAGGCGAGGGTTTGAATCAAGAAGCAGCAGACATAACGAACTCAAGATACGTGACGCTGGAACAGGCTGACTATTCCGGCCCTCTGACCTACGAGTCGCTGGCCAGGCTACCGAAACCATATAGGTCAGTAAAATTTCTATTTATTAGTTATTCATTCGAAGAAAAAGACGAAATAACACCAAGTCGGTGGACCACAAAAATTATATTACACAAAATGTATTGTGACTAGTTCCGGCCCAAACAGCTATCTTCAGACACATCAGTGTCTCGAGATCATAGACCCTTTGCGTATCAATCAACTGACTAATCTCACGACAGAAACGAATCTCTTCCTACCTCGGTGTGTGATATAATATTTTTTTCCTTCACAATGATATATGATTTATTGATATGAAATCTTCATAGATGCTTCTAAATCACTGAAACAATTGAACAATTATACCATTGTAAGTAGCTTTTATAGAAAAAATCACATACATGGAGGCTCTATCATATTTGTAAGAAATGGTCTGGTTTCGTATTCAAAGTCAATAAGATTTTCAAATAACTATTCCATTGAAAATATCCTCGAATGCTCTGCTATATCAATCAACAAAATATGTTGCGTCATAAATATATATAGGCCAACAGGTGGAGACCTGCAAATTTTTTATGATTAGCTTTCCCAGCTACTGACAAAGGCGTTTAGCTCTTTCACTTATTTGATGCTCTGTGGAGATCTAAACATTGATATGAAAGGAGGAAAAATTGAATCAAGAATCCTAAGTGATAGTTTCAGTTCTTTTGAAATGTCATCTATGGTTAATGATTATACAAGGATATTCACTATAAATAACAAGACCAGTTATTCATGTATTGATGTTATTGTCACTAGTCACCCTGAACTTACCAAAGTATACAACTTTGATCCAGGTCTATCGGACCACCATGCTCAAATTACTGATATGATTCTTCATACTGAGAATGATATTAAAAAAGAAGACCCCTACTATACCTACCGTAGTTTCGATGACGTATCTGTAAAGAAATTCTGTTTTCATCTGGAGAAGACAATGCGCATTATGCCATCCATTGATGACATGGGCAATGTAGATGAAATCTTCGAACTCTTCCTAAGTGATTTTTTATGGTGCTTTGATTTGGTTTTCTCAAAAAAAAGAAAGGTAGCTGAAAATCGAAAATTTTCGGATAAAATAATTTTATCAAACAAATTGAAAAATGACCTGGATAACCTAAAACAATAGATTGGTTGAGAAAAAGAACTGATGACGATGAAATCAAAATGCACTATAAAAAAATTAAAAAACAAGTGGATGAAAATATTAAAATGGAAAAACGCGAATTTAATAACAACAAAATTAAACAATCAAATAATAGATCCAAAGCAATCTGGACTATCACTAATAATTTCACAGGCAAATCTAAAAAGCAGCGAGAACTTGAAATTTCTCATGAAAGCCATTTAACCACGGACTTGAACATTATTACTGATCATTTACTGATCTATTTGGCAACTACTCATCCACCGTTATTGAAAATAAAATATCTGAACATTTCGGTGATACTTTATCTAAATCGTGCACAACCTCCAATAATAGTCTGAGTGATTCATTTATATTCATACCTGCTACTAAAGAAGAGGTTGAGGAAGTTATTGCTAACCTACCTAATAAAAAGTCCACTGGATTAGATGATATCCCGGTTGATATAATAATAAAAAAGTGACATCATAAATCTATCAGTGAATTCTGGCACTTTTCCTAGTGTCCTGAAATCCGCTGCCATCATTCCCATATTCAAAAAAGGCGATACCAGCAACATAGAGAACTATCGTCCAATTGCTCTCCTGAGCATATTTTCCAAAATAATTGAAAAGATCATTTGCAGGAGAATTACAGATTTCTTCACAAAGCATAAAATACTTACTGATTGCCAACATGGCTTCCGCCCTGGTCTATCTACCGGAACAGTCATAACGGAATTTGTTCAACACATAATTGACCTTATGGACAGAAACGAACACGTAATTGTTATATCGTTCGACCTGACGCGAGCATTCGATACGGTTAATAGTAATTTCGTCTCCGAAAAAATCAACTACCTAGGTCTTCGTGGCCCAGTGAATGATTGGATAACGTCCTTTCTTGAAGATAGAAAAATTACAGTGAGAATCGCTGAAATCAAATCGAAAGAATACGATTTAGATCTTGGAACACCACAGGGAAGTGTTCTAGGTCCGTTGATTTTCCTAACCTATGTCAATGACATGCCTCATTACATAAAAAATGGTAGGGTCATGTATGCTGATGACACCTCTATTGTGGTATCTGATTCTGATCGCCAAAGACTACAGCAAAAAACCGACTCGGTTCTGAAAGATTTCGCGGAAAACTGCACTCAAAATACACTTATAATAAATCATAATAAAACAGTAGTAATCGAGTTCCATTCAAAACATAAAATATCTTCTAATTTTACCTTTGAAATTAATACTCATATCGTTCAAACCTCCACTTCATCTAAATTCTTAGGAATGATTATAGATCGTAACTTAACATGGGAGGAACAAATACAAATGGTTTGCAAAAAAGTCAACAAAAGCTTTTACATTTTGGCAACACTGAGAAATGTTTTGAACACGGACTCATTACTGCAGGTCTACTATGCATTTGTTTATTCTACAATTCCATACAACATTACAGTATGGGGTCAGGCATCAGATATAACAAGAATTTTCGTTGCACAGAAACGAATCATAAGGATTAGTGTGAAGTTATCCACAAACCTTCATCCACAAATTCTGACGTAGGGGAAATTTTCTATGATGCAGCGATTTAATCCTATACAGTGTTGCCACATTAATTTTTTTTTGGTGAGTACCTATGAGAAAGTACTTGAAAGAAAAATATTTACAAACCAGTATGTTTAACAAAACTGGAAAAAGTCATTAATTTCTCGGGTTCCGCAATGACATTTCTTGGGGAAGTTGATTGATTTGAAATGAATGATTTATTGACTGAAAAAAATTGTGCCAACTAGTAGGCCGAGTGCTTGATTGGAAAAAATTTGAAAAATATTCATTTTCTTGCAAACTACCTACGACGTGTTTCGTCATATGAAATCTTCACAGAGTGTTCATTACATTGAACGAAATGATTCAGTCGATAGAAAAAGTTGTGCCAACCCGTAGGCCGGGTGCTTTGTTGAAAAAACTTGAAAAATATTTATTTTCTTAGAAACTACGGCGTGTTCCGTCATGAAATTTCCACAGAGTATTCATTTCATTGATCGAAATGATTCAGTCGATGAAAAAAGTTGTGCCAAACCGTAGGCCAGGTGCTTAGTTGAAAGAACTTGAAAAATATTTATTTTCTTGGAAACTACGGCGTGTTCCGTCATGAAATTCTCACAGAGTGGTCATTATATTAATCGAAATGATTCAGTCGATGAAAAAAGTTGTGCCAAACCGTAGGCCGGGAGCTATGTTGAAAAAACTTGAAAAATATCCATTTTCTTGGAAACTACGACGTGTTCCGTCATGAAATTTCTACAGAGTGTTCAGTACATTGAGATAAATGATTCAGTCGATAAAAAAAGTTGTGCCAAACCGTAGGCCAGGAGCTATGTTTAAAAAACTTGAAAAATATTTATTTTCTTAGAAACTACGGCGTGTTCCGTCATGAAATTTCCACAGAGTATTCATTTCATTGATCGAATTGATTCAGTCGATGAAAAAAGTTGTGCCAAACCGTAGGCCGGGTGCTTAGTTGAAAAAACTTGAAAAATATTTATTTTCTTGGAAACTACGGCGTGTTCCGTCATGAAATTCTTACAGAGTGGTCATTATATTAATCGAAATGATTCAGTCGATGAAAAAATTTGTGCCAAACCGTAGGCCGGGAGCTATGTTGAAAAAACTTGAAAAATATCCATTTTCTTAGAAACTACGAAGTGTTCCGTCATGAAATTTCCACAGAGTATTCATTTCATTGATCGGAATGATTCAGTCGATGAAAAAAGTTGTGCCAAACCGTAGGCCGGGAGCTATGTTGAAAAAACTTGAAAAATATCCATTTTCTTAGAAACTACGGCGTGTTCCGTCATGAAATTTCCACAGAGTATTCATTTCATTGATCGAAATGATTCAGTCGATGAAAAAAGTTGTGCCAAACCGTAGGCCGGGTGCTTAGTTGAAAAAACTTGAAAAATATTTATTTTCTTGGAAATTACGGCGTGTTCCGTCATGAAATTCTCACAGAGTGGTCATTATATTAATCGAAATGATTCAGTCGATGAAAAAAGTTGTGCCAAACCGTAGGCCGGGAGCTATGTTGAAAAAACTTGAAAAATATCCATTTTCTTAGAAACTACGAAGTGTTCCGTCATGAAATTTCCACAGAGTATTCATTTCATTGATCGGAATGATTCAGTCGATGAAAAAAGTTGTGCCAAACCGTAGGCCGGGAGCTATGTTGAAAAAACTTGAAAAATATCCATTTTCTTAGAAACTACGGCGTGTTCCGTCATGAAATTTCCACAGAGTATTCATTTCATTGATCGAAATGATTCAGTCGATGAAAAAAGTTGTGCCAAACCGTAGGCCGGGTGCTTAGTTGAAAAAACTTGAAAAATATTTATTTTCTTGGAAACTACGGCGTGTTTTGTCATGAAATTTCTACAAAGTGTTCATTACATTGAAAGAAATGATTCAGTCGATAGAAAAAGTTGTGCCAAACCGCAGGCCAGGAGCTATGTTGAAAAAACTTGAAAAATATTTATTTCCTAGGAAACTACGGCGTGTTCCGTCATGGAATATCTACAGAGTGTTCATTAGATTGATCGAAATGATTCGGTCGATGGAAAAAAATGTGCCAAACCGTAGGCCGGGAGCTATGTTGGAAAAACTTTATTTATTTTCTTGGAAACTACGGCGTGTTCCGTCATGAAATTTTCACAGAGTATTCATAACATTCATCGAAATGATTCAGTCGATGAAAAAAATTGTGTTAAACCGTAGGCCGGGAGCTATGTTGAAAAAACTTGAAAAATATCCATTTTCTTAGAAACTACGACGTGTTCCGTCATGAAAATTTCACAGAGTGTTCATTACATTGATCTAATGATTCAGTCGATTGAAAAAGTTGTTCCAAACCGTAGGCCGGGTGCTTAGTTGAAAAAACTTGAAAAATATTTATTTTCTTAGAAACCACGGCGTGTTCCGTCATGAAATTTCTACAGAGTGTTCATTACATTGAGAAAAATGATTAAGTCGATAGAAAAAGTTGTGCCAAACCGTAGGCCAGGAGCTATGTTGAAAAAACTTGAAAAATATTTATTTTCTTGGAAACTACGGCGTGTTTTGTCATGAAATTTTTACAAAGTGTTCATTACATTGAAAGAAATGATTCAGTCGATAGAAAAAGTTGTGCCAAAACGCAGGCCAGGAGCTATGTTGAAAAAACTTGAAAAATATTCATTTCCTAGGAAACTACGGCGTGTTCCGTCATGAAATTTCTACAGAGTGTTCATTAGATTGATCAAAATGATTCGGTCGATGGAAAAAAATGTGCCAAACCGTAGGCCAGGAGCTATGTTCAAAAAACTTGAAAAATATTTATTTTCCTAGAAACTACGGCGTGTTCCGTCATGAAATTTCCACAGAGTATTCATTTCATTGATCGAATTGATTCAGTCGATGAAAAAAGTTGTGCCAAACCGTAGGCCGGGTGCTTAGTTGAAAAAACTTGAAAAATATTTATTTTCTTGGAAACTACGGCGTGTTCCGTCATGAAATTCTTACAGAGTGGTCATTATATCAATCGAAATGATTCAGTCGATGAAAAAAGTTGTGCCAAACCGTAGGCCGGGAGCTATGTTGAAAAAACATGAAAAATATCCATTTTCTTAGAAACTACGGCGTGTTCCGTCATGAAATTTCCACAGAGTATTCATTTCATTGATCGAAATGATTCAGTCGATGAAAAAAGTTGTGCCAAACCGTAGGCCGGGAGCTATGTTGAAAAAACTTGAAAAATATCCATTTTCTTGGAAACTACGACGTGTTTCGTCATGAAAATTTCACAGAGTGTTCATTAAATGATTCAGTCGATTGAAAAAGTTGTGCCAAACCGTAGGCCGGGTGCTTAGTTGAAAAAACTTGAAAAATATTCATTTTCTTAGAAACCACGGCGTGTTCCGTCATGAAATTTCTACAGAGTGGTCATTATATTAATCGAAACGATTCAGTCGATGAAAAAAGTTGTGCCAAACCGTAGGCCGGGTGCTTAGTTGAAAAAACTTGAAAAATATTCATTTTCTTAGAAACCACGGCGTGTTCCGTCATGAAATTTCTACAGAGTGTTCATTACATTGAGATAAATGATTAAGTCGATAGAAAAAGTTGTGCCAAACCGTAGGCCAGGAGCTATGTTGAAAAAACTTGAAAAATATTTATTTTCTTGGAAACTACGGCGTGTTTTGTAATGAAATTTCTACAAAGTGTTCATTACATTGAAAGAAATGATTCAGTCGATAGAAAAAGTTGTGCCAAACCGCAGGACAGGAGCTATGTTGAAAAAACTTGAAAAATATTTATTTCCTAGGAAACTACGGCGTGTTCCGTCATGAAATTTCTACAGAGTGTTCATTAGATTGATCGAAATGATTCGCTCGATGGAAAAAAATGTGCCAAACCGTAGGCCGGGAGCTATGTTGGAAAAACTTTATTTATTTCCTTGGAAACTACGGCGTGTTCCGTCATGAAATTTTCACAGAGTATTCATTACATTCATCGAAAAGATTCAGTCGATGAAAAAAATTGTGCCAAACCGTAGGCCGGGAGCTATGTTGGAAAAACTTGAAAAATATTTATTTTCTTGGAAACTACGTCGTGTTCTGTCATGAAATTTCTACAGAGTGTTCATTACATTGAGAGAAATGATTCAGTCTATAGAAAAAGTTGTGCCAATTCGTAGGCCGGGAGCTATGTTGAAAAAACTTGAAAAATATTCATTTTCTTTGGAACTACGACGTGTTCCGTCATGAAATGTTCACAGAGTGTTCATTACATTGATCTAAATGATTCAGTCGGTGAAAAAAGTTGTGCCAAACCGTGGGCCGGGAGCTATGTTGAAAAAACTTTTTCCATCGACTGAATCATTTCGATCAATATAATGACCACTCTGTTAGAATTTTATGACGGGAAACGCCTTAGTTTCCAAGAAAATGAATATTTTTCAAGTTTTTTCAACATAGCTCCCGGCCTACGGTTTGGCACAACTTTTTACATCGACTGAATCATTTCGATCAATGTAATGAATACTCTGTGAAAATTTCATGACAAAACACGCCGTAGTTTCCTAGGAAATAAATATTCTTCAAGTTTTTTCAACATTGCTCCTGGCCTACGGTTGGGCACAACTTTTTCTATCGACTGAATCATTTCTCTCAATGTAATGAACACTCTGTAGAAATTTCATGACGGAACACGACGTGGTTACCAAGAAAATGAATATTTTTCAAGTTTTTCCAACATAGCTCCCGGTCTACGGTTTGGCACAACTTTTTCCATCGACCGAATCATTTCGATCAATGTAATGAACACTCTGTAGAAATTTCATGACGGAACACGCCGTAGATTCCTAGGAAATAAATATTTTTCAAGTTTTTCCAACATAGCTCCCGGCCTACGGGTTGGCACAACTGTTTACATCGACTGAATCATTTAGATCAATGTAATGAACACTCTGTGAAAATTTCATAGCAGAACACGTCGTAGTTTCCAAGAAAATAAATATTTTTCAAGTTTTTTCAACATAGCTCCCGGCCTATGGTTTGGCACATCTTTTCCTATCGACTGAATCATTTCTCTCCATGTAATGAACACTCTGTAAAAATTTCATGACGGAACACGCCGTAGTTTGCAAGAAAATAAATATTTTTCAAGTTTTTCCCAATCTAGCACTCAATGACTTTCTCCAGTTTTGTTAAACAAACTGGTTTGTAAATATTTCCTTCAAGTACTTTCTCATACTCACCAAAAAATAAAAATTAATGTGGCAACACTGTATAAGATTGAATCGCTGCATCATGGAAAATTTCCCCTACGTCAGAATTTGTGGATGAAGGTTTGTGGATAACTTCACACTAATATCATAAGGCTCATTTTCAACATAAGTAGTCGCCAATCATGTAGACAGGTCTTCAAATCAAAACGGATCCTCACGGTAACTTCAATTTATTTAATGAAACTGTTAACCTACATCTACATTAACAAACATTCATTTCCCATTAATAGTGATTCACATTCTTACAACACTAGAAAAAAGAATGATATCAAACTAAACAAGCCTAAACACTCCTATTACAAAAAAATCTCCAATCAATGCAGGCTGCCGTTTTTTCAACTGTCTGCCGAATGAAATAAAAAACGCGGTATCCCCGGCTGTTTTTAAATGTAGACTGAAGAAACTCCTAGTCAGAGAATGCTTTTATACTGTTGAGGAATTCGAATCCTACTTTTCAATTTTGAAATTATAATACTGAAGTATTTCTCAGTTCATGTTAGTCATCACTGTAAATGTCTCGTCTTGTTATAGTATTTCGTTTCGTCTTATTTTTCAATTAAAACTTGATACCACTGTCCATTTATTTATGACATGTAATATTGACTTATCCTATCTATTGTTACTGATAGTTTAAAGGATTAATAAATATTTTATTTATTTATTTATTTATTCAATTTCAATAGTGAGCGATGGATTTTCATATGAATAAGCTCCAGTAGAAAGTATATTACTTTTGATTTCCCAATGAAAAAGACAAAAACAAAAAACAAAAAAAATAGTTTTTGGGTCCAAGAAGAAAATCAAATCGTGGTTGATTGAGAATTCAGTAATTTTGGAAATTTGATTATATGAAAGAATACTTATGCAACATATCATGTTTTTATAGTTATTTTTAGATAATATGAAAATCTATTTATTTCGTTGATTGTACTCAATGAAAAAATAAATTTTAGTCAGTCAGTGGAAGGAAAAAAAACTACATGATCATGGATAAGTTATGTATATTTTTATAATTATAGTATGCTGATATGTATGTTATTTTAAAAATGAATAAACATTGAATTAATAATAATAAATGTGAATTTCGGGTACTTTCAGGGACGTAGTCGCCAATCTGAAGTACCACAGCGACTCGGACAGCAGCGGCATCGAGGGAAACATCCCCGGAGTGGAAGGGGGCACAGAGTCGGACTGTTCCGGGGCCACGGAAGGGCCTGAGGACGGAACAGTCTCGGACGACAGCATCATGGACGACGAGAGCTTTCTGACCAATCAGCAGCTGCAGAAGTTGTACAAGTTGCCGAAATCGTTGAATCTGGTTCGTGACATGAAATGACTTCCTACAGAAACAAATATATTTTTTCGGCAACTTCCCAGACGCTTTTTCTTCGAGAAAGTAGCATTTTTCTGGCCTAGTCCGAGAAGTAAGTACTTCCCGAACCAGGCCGGAAAGTATCACATCGTTGTTGTCACTTTAACTATGAAAGTTTTGGTAGATCAGGTGTTAATAAATGCAGATGATACCCTCACATTTGTACGGGCATTATCTAAGTGATTTATAAGGATCAAAATATCATTTTGCTGGATTGAGAACCATCCACTATGCTTGAGAGTGCTTTATTTGCAAGAAAAAAAACCGCATTTGCTGCTTATTTTATTTTCCGGTGGCGTAAAAAAAATAAATCATTGTGTTGTGCAATTGGTCTCTACTAAAAAATGTTTCCTGAAGGTGAGTGAATCAGAAACATCAACTTTTCATGATATTGTGAATGATTTCATGCATTGAAAAGCAAATGAAAACATGATTCAACATGGTGGTTCACAGTGGCTGTTTCCAAAATTTTTTTTGGGATCAGATTTCAGGACATACTTGTGTACCATCACATTTGTGTGCTCCGGGAGCATACCGCTACGGATCAATGATTATTATCGATTTTGATTTAAAAATTCCAGTGTGTCAAAACTGTCCTCCATTCCAAGAATCTTGAATTGCAAAAAAATCAAGATGAAATTTACAATTTGTTCGTCAGATAGGAATAAATCTGGAAATCGATTCCGATTAAGATGACCAGTGGGAGTTGAATGCACATGATTAGGTAGAAGTGCCGGAGGAATATTTGTTGAGTGAGTGGATGAAAATGCCAATAAACCAACCGTTCTACTTGCAAATAGAGAAGCTTCTATTTCAACAAATGACAAACGATATGATGAATTTGACCACTGGCCTATCATTGATTCTCCGAAATCACCACGTACTTGCTGACTGGAAAGTTGCGGGAGCCGTTCAAGAACGAGTTGTTAAAAATGCAATGTACGCCTATGCCTGTGCTTGCACAATGAAAATAATTGTTTCGGAACTTTTCAAAACAAAACATAAACAATAAATGCATATTTCTCCATGATTAGCGTTTTCTTCATTCTGAGTTGAAATCCCATTCCACGCCTCAATAACACGATTGTGAGGGTCCTGAAAATAATATTACATCATCCTGGAAAAATTCGAGAAAAATTCAGGAAGTTTCTGAGGTAACTCTGAGTCACACCTGCCAGAAAAATTCCGACTATACTTTCCAAATTATTCTCGGGAGTGTAAGGGCTATTTACTATATCAATCAATCAAATATACTTTATTGTCTGAAGAACGTAATTCTTATTGACAAAGTCGTTACAATTAAAAGGAATAATAATCATAAATAGAACAATATGCACACAAGTGAATCAAATAAAATTTGGTAAAACATTTTTACCGTACTGGTCAACAACAACATGCATAAATATAATATAATAGTACAAATAAATATTAAAATTATCACTATAAAAAATTGCTTTGTTCACATCCATAACAATGGTTATAATCACTAAAATACAATAACAAACAAACATGTGTAAATTTATAATAAATACAAGTACAATATAAATATAAATTATGAATAAATATCACTATTGAAACGTATTAAAATTGAATCATGAATACTAAGGATCGGACGACGAAGTCAAATTCCACAACACTAAAAGTTCTGACTGTAGAATTCATCTAATGAGTAAAAAGCATTCGTCAGTAGGAGATTTTTTACAGAATGTTTGAATTGATTTTTACTACTAATAATTTTAATTTAGTTGGGTAGGTGATTGAATAATTTTCTACCATTATAAATTATGGAATTTTTTATTTGTGTTGATGTTGGAATTGGTAATGATATATTGAGTGTTTGTCTAGTATTATATTGAGTTATATTAGAGATTTCGTTTTTAAATTTACTATGCATGAGACATACCGCTTCTAAAATAAAAATACAAGGTAGTGGTAAAATTTTATGTTTGATGAAGAGTGGCTTGCAAGAATCCCGGAATTTAGCTTTGCACATATACCTTATTGCCCTTTTTTGCAAGACAAAAATCATATTGAAAAAATATTGACTACATGATCCCCAAAAACAATATATAGCAGCGAAATATCGGCTGACAGCTATTTGACATGAAATTAGTTTGATATTTGGATTTTTGAAAGTTCAGTTGCAATTGTCGCAATATGATCTACAAAGAGCAGATACGGCATGTTCTAGAATACTGTTCCCACATATTAGGTTCAGCACCAAAACATCCGCCTCGTGGGTGACGCCACACTCACTCACTCTTTGACATCATTGGAACACCGTAGAAAGGTCGGCAACCTTTCACTTTTCTATCGATACTTCCACGGGAAATGTTCTTCGGAAATCTCTGCTATCATCCCTTCACTAGCAATACCAGTCAGACGAACTAGACAAGCCCAGTAAGCACATCCTTTCGCTGTCAACCTCGAAAGATGTCGAACAGCACTTCATCAAAACTCCTTCATCCATAGAACGGCTAGGATCTGGAATTCATTGCCTGAGGAAGTATTCCCAACAACATATAATCTCTAGAAGTTCAAAACAAATTTCAATACCTACCTCCTATCCCTATCCTGCCTAGGAACGCATGATGTTCTTTGAACATTATAGGGATTCCCTTTCGTGCGCTCCAAGCGATAAAAAAAACTATCGGAAGCAGCAGCGATAGTGAGTTTGAAAATGTCCATACGAAATTTTCAATATAGCAGTTAGTAGGTATAGGTATTCTGTTCAAATTTCAGTATTTGATACAAATTTGAATTAATAAAGGAGAAATTGTATTTCACGAAGAAATATAATATGGTAATGTGTCTCAGTGAATTGTTATTCTACATACGGTTGCCGAGAAAATTGTGTCCAAAAAAATTTTTTTACTTGGTACGTAAATTACTATTTCTACAAATGTCTAAAAATGACAAGGTTCGCGAACTGACACTGTTTTTCAGTGTCCTACGTTATCACGACACCATGTGCGAAGCAGTGCGCGAAGAACTCTTAGAGATTTTTGTATTCAAACTTAATGGTCCTCAATCAAGCAAAAATCCAAGAAAACATTCATTTCTGAATGTTCAACAATAGCTGGGACCTTTCAAGCCAGTTCATTCAATGAGCTTAGCCTGATAAGACAACTGGTACTAGAATCACTGGATGATATTGGTTAAATAAGAGTTCGGACACAGAAATGACAATTGTGTTTAGATTCATTCACAACTTGCATTGTGACAAGAGCACCATAATCGTTCTGCGACTTTCCATTCAGAATTGTTTGAATTTGACAATAAATACTGTGATCGTCAGAATCGAGATATAATTTCATAAAGTATCGAGAAGAAAGCATAAACGAAATTCTCCTTCTGTGTATTGAATTGTGGTTTTTCTGAAGTGAATAGATTTTATTTATTCAATTCTCTCATGGAAGGAATGTATGAAACGGTCTGGATGGAAAATTAATCTGAACACAAGCAACATTTGTGAGGTACATGCGTTGAAATTCACCTTTTATAACAGCAGATTAGAATGAAACTATCTTTCATACCCAGAAATCATTGTGCATAGATTTTTTTTATAAGACGCAGAATTCAAATGCAGCAACATCATCATGGAGTAATATTATTTCTAGGGACGAACAGGAGTGGAAGAATGCAACACGGATATGGAAAGGCACAACGCGAAACATTTCGTGAAGTCTTTGCAATATGTCCTACTACCGAATTTGATGGCATTACGGTCTTCCATACAGGTAAGAGATTGTGAATGAGATATTCTCATCATGTTGTTAGCCAAACATCAAATGAACAGAAGTCTCCTGACGTGCAATGAATGTTTATCCTTTGTCCTTGAATGAAATGGGCGTCTACTGGACGCACAATGAAAAACAACCAACAAGCATACATGTTTATACGTACAATTCCATATTATATTCATTCAATGTCCATGAACATCTGGATCCGAAATAATTGAAAACCTCTGTTTTGCGAATATGAACAATTTTTATAGGTACTTCAATTCTTGTTCGATTGTCAAGATTCCATTATTTCAGGTAGACGAAGTGCTCCAAGAGTTCTCCTCGAAATGCTGTCAACACAACTCTTCCCAAAACTACGAGATATCCACGATTATGAACGCAGATGGAGTTTACTTAGCGACCTATTCCGCTCTGTTGCTTGACCTGAAGCTCATTCAGTCTGGCCATTACAATGAAAATATCACAGAGGTGAGATTTTCATTTTATTAACTAAAATACATTGTTTTATACATTAGGAAAATAATTATTTCAAAGTGGTCGTGAGAGAACAACTCATCATATCCTGAGGAGTTCATGATTGATACCTACTCGATATAATATAGAAAATCTCTAAAATGCTGATTTCCCACCTTGCTGTTGTTGTCCCATTGTTACCATGCCGAAATTTGTCTTGCATGTAATGGAGGTCCAGTTCTTTCTTGATGACACGATCAAAATTTTGAGAAGATGGCTGAACAGCAGATTTTACTGCTGCAATTTCCACTGCCCTTTCAAATGTGGTGTTTATCTTCTCTTCCATCAACCAATCTTGTACGGGGCCCTTGTCGTAAGCTATGATAAATATGTCTCTCATAACAACTTTCAGTTATTCAGTTTCAAATTGACATGTAGCGGCTAAACTTCTGAGTCCAGCTGCCCAATCTTTGGCGTTTTCCGACGAAAGCTTCCTCGCACTGTAAAATTTGTATCTTGCTCTGAATACTCACTAGCTTTGAAATGTTTAGTTAGGGGAGGAGCTAACTCAGAGTAAGTTTTTGACTCTGGCTCCGAAGGAATGCACAAACTGAAGATGAGCTTATACGCACTTTCACTGAGAATGTTCAATAATATTGCTGCCCTACGTTTCTCTTCGCGGATATGCTGTTAGCCACAAAATAATTTTCCAATCGTTTCTGGAAAACGGACCAATCCGATACCGCGGGATCAAACTCACGTAAGTGTCCGATAAATTCCGTAATTTCGAAATAATTCCAATAATCCTCGTCGCCACTTGTAATGTTTTCAGTTAATATGAACTGAAATAAACATTTTCATTCGTGAAGAATTTATTCACTGCTTTTACAGTTGCCGGTCCATGTCGAACAAAATCCTTCGATAAGTAAATGCCCAAAAAAAGTATATAGTGATATAAGCAGTATACACGACTACACATGAAATAAACTAGTAGCACATAATTAGATACACTACAAATCGAATGTCATAAACAAACTGCTAATCCAGGACATAACAGATGACGAAATGAAGGTCACTATTAAATCTCTAACACCAAAAAATCCATGTGTCCGGACCAAATACCTGCATATTACTTGATAAAACCCCAAAAATAATCTTTTATCTCAACACGTGCTTATCCCTCCAAGTAGAAACTTACTTGAATCTGTCTCATTTTGAAGAGTGGCAATAAAAATAAAATCACCAATTACAGACCATTGGCATTAATCTGTGCTCCAAGGTATTTCCTAATGATTTGTTGAAAATCTGTGCATCCTATCTAAAGGATCGTCGACAATATGTAGTATATAAAGGAGGTACCTCCTATTAATACTCTACAAATTCTGGAGTACCACAAGGGTCAAACTTAGGGCCTATATTTTTCTTGTGCATTATAAATGACCTCCTGGACATTCATGAAATTTCTGAATGCCAATTATTTGCTGACGATTCAAAGGTATATTATGCGAAAGTGGTCAATGAATCAGATTGTGAAAACTTACAGAAGGATATTCACAGGATAATGTCTTGGTCTGAAAATAATAACTTGAACTTCAATTTTGGAAAATGTTTCTCCGTAACATTTCACTAGGAAAAAAATATAGTGGACTTCACATACAAACTAAATGACACAGCCTCACCAAAAACAATTGGCTTGTGGATTTGGGTGTTAATTTTGATAATGAACTGAACTTCAATACACATGTAAGCAATATCTCTAAAAGGACGTTCGAACTATTTGAAACTATTTTTCGGGAATCGTTCGATATTGTTGATCTAAAAATATTTTCGTATTATAATACAATTTTCTCAATTTATATTTTGAATTGACTCGGCCGTTACTTGATGGAAATCCATGGCAAATGTAAAAACTTCATTAACGATAAGATTTCCACAAATCTGTCAAACACACGACATGTTTCGCTAGCACAGTAGCTTCGTCAGGTGATATTGTTGTTGTTGTTGTTGTTATACTATCTTCTTGATGGGTCTATATTTTATCTTCCAGAATATACCAGTACCAATAACCGAAAATCAATTTGTTGAAGAGGTCCATGGAAGTGGAGTTCTTGTTTACGTATCGGCTACATGGTTATGCGAATTGTACCAGAACGTGTTGGCAAAATCTCTGTTGCTCTCTGCCGGATATGATCCAAGAAGTATACATCAACCGTCACTCATCAGCTTACTAACAGGTATGGGTGAAATGGATAGCTAATAGGGTTTGCTTATTTATTGGTGGGTCTGTGTACAGTTCTTTTCTTAAATTCAGTGATCTCGTCGATCAATTAGGTTGAAATTTCTCCTACACGAATCATTCTGAATGTATCAAATGCATTCTTGTTGCGTTAATTCTGCTTCCCAATCAATATATCATGATTCAGTTCCTTTTCGACTGGAAGAAACGAAAAGTCTATAGCATGAAACCAGTCCAGAAACGGAGAGCGGCATAAATCTTTCCATACGCGTTCTAACTTTTTGTTGGCCCTCTGTGGTGGCCGTATCAGGAATACTTTTTGGGGATAAAACATAATTCTGGAGGGGTTTTGCTGCAAGCGAGAATATGACAATTCTTCAACTCGATACATTTCCGGCTTTTCTCTATGGTAATCTAGAGGAAACCATATTTATTTAACAGCCAGAAGTTTATCAAGATGGAACCAATATGATGTATCTATTGCATACTATAGTCACTGGATGGTATTGGTTAGATGAGAGTTCGGACACAGCTGAACTTCTGTCCTTTTCTATTTTCTATATTTCAATGGTTGGAGTGAATACAAGAATAAGACATATTCTGCTCTTTGTCTTCTCATTTTCCCTAGTAGCGCCTAATTGTTAAATAGGGCGAGTATACGATGACCGACCCTGGAGGTGAATCATTGAATCACAACCTCAATTTTTCATTTGTTTCCAGAGGAACCAAAGGACTGGAATAGTTTCTCACAATATTTTAGCATACTAATCATGATTTTTGTGCTATTCATTAATTCAAGCATGCCTTCTTATTGTGCTTTCGTACAATACACAATAAATGCAGCGAGAGACGATGGAATATGACTTTTCAGGTAAATAGTAATCTCACATAGTTTTCATTATGAAATTTTGTCATTTCTTCTCAACATTATTTCTGCCACTTCTGCGATACAAGCTTATACTGTCAATGGATTGAAAATGTCTACAACACACACGATCATATTTCGTCAGCATGTCAGACCAGTCCTCCTGTTTAATTGCATGAATCCAATTTTCTTGCAGTCTTTTAGAGACGGGTATTTCTATTAGCTTCTATTGCAGAAGGAATTCCGATGAGAAATCAGAGAAATTACCAAATTTCAAAATGAAAACTATATGTGAGTGACTATAGTAGATGCTTACTTTGAAATCATAATAATGTCTCAACCACATTCCTTCGTCTCTAGCTACATTTTTTGTGCATTGAACAACAGCACAATGTGATGGCATCCGCGAATTAATGAATAGCCGAAAAACAGGATTCGTATGCCGAAATAATTGTGAAAAACTATTCTAATCATTTGTAAACAAATAAGAAGAATGAGGTTGTGTTTCAATTTTTCACCTCCATGGTCGGTCATCTGACAGTTCTTGCACGCAACCCATACGATTTTAGAAGTGAGATTTTTTGTAAAATCATTGTCGTAGATGGAAAATAGAAATAGGGTATAAACACCCACTTCAATTAATATAGTGATACACTTCTCACTGGACCATCATATAGTGATAAAAATGAAAAGAATTCATGTAACAACATTTTATTGATTGATTGATTGTCTTCATTACCCCAAGAAACATTTCTGTTTATGATAGGGATACATAAATACATATAAAAAAATAATAATGAAGGGTTAACTATAATGAATTCCACCTTCGAAAAAACAACTCAATTTTTTCGATTTTATTACACGTGATTTGAGTTTATCATTTCACATGTCAGGGTGAACTTTGAAACCCCATCAAACTGAGTTCGTTTTCCAAATGTGAAATCAATAACCCGATCCATTACATAAATAAAAACTATCAATGTTTTTATAGAAAACGAAAAAATAATTATTGTACCGAATCATGGTGCATAGGTCCGTGTCTTGTGCCATTTTATTATCAATTTTTCAACTTTCCCATTTCCATAACCAAATTCTTATATTTGGCTGATGTTGGGCTTATATAAGCCCGAAACATGTACCTCTATGTGATCAATCTCTGATCGTCGAATGAATGTTGTGGAGATGACTTTGGGTTTCTTCATCTATGAGAGTCACTTTTGATCCGAATGGGAGATACTTTTTCTCCTGCAATCGAAATAATTGGAATATTAGTGAATCCACCACTTTATTCTGACTCACTTGAGAATGTCAGTGTCAAAGCAGCTATCATATCAGCTGTCATCCGACACACTTTCAGTTTCTAGGAGTTGAACTGTAACTTCAACTCTCAGATACTAAAAGTGTTGCCTAGCAACATACGCACTTATCATTCAATTATGTCAACAAGGGAAACGCCTACTTCAAGAGCCAATTACGGAACAAAAATGGACGACTTCTGAGGCGATTGCAGAAAAAACATATTATTCCCTTGTATCCTGTATACATGTGAGCTACGTTATTAGGTGATGAAACGGAAACGTTGCACAAATAACATAACCACTCTGTTTGGGATATATCTGAAAATTCTAAAATCAACATATTTCAATATCATCTAATAATATTGATTTCCATATTGATGCAACGTCTCATGAATGTTTCACTCCAAAATATTATGTTGGATACTTCAGAAGGACATTATCACAATGTTATTCCAACAATATCACAGCTCTTATATCAGAGAAATATTTTTGCTATGTACCTATCATCCCAGGCAATCATATGGCGAATGATCACGTCACTGTGACGTACTCAATTGGTGATTTTTCGTCAGAGACATCACACACCAATTTACGACGTCACTATGTAGTGAGAATCACGTCATCATCTCGACGCCAAGTGAGCGTCACTTAGAAGGGTGAAATAAGACGTCAGTTTCATGACGTTGCAGGGACGTCCTGTTGACGTCCATGTTTCCCAGAACCATGTATACTTACATTGTGAAACCGTTAGTTTTGTGGCGTACCAATTTATAGAGGAGGGGCATTTTCAGTGTCGAAAAGTTTTGAGGAAACATGATTTTTTCATTAATTTTACACACATTCATATATAGAAACTTGTACGTCATGCTTCTGACGATGATAGAAGTAACTCATTGAAACAAATCAATATGCAAGTTTTATTGGAATTATATATAGGTACCCAAAAAGTAAGAGAAAACTTTTTTGTATACAGGGTGTTTCCTAACTACGGTTCCTAACTGCAGGTGGTGATATGTCAGGTCATTTCAGGAAGAAAAGTTCCTATTAACATATTTCCGGAGTTGCTTCGTTTCTGAAATACAGGGCGTTGAAATTAAAGAAAAAAAACGGTATTTATTAAATATCATGAATATCCTAGAACCGATTTGATTGAAATTGGTATTATTCATTCGAACTAATAGGGCGCTTATTTAGCCCTATTAATATTGAAATTATTGGGGCCAGTGGCGTCTCAGTGGGCACCGCAGCCAACAATATTGTGAAAAAAAAGTACGCCACTGACTTTTTTGATAAATTTAAATTCTTTTCCAGATTGAGCAATTCAAAATACAACTTTTTGGTCTCCTACATTTTCTTCATATGCAGCTTCGTTTTCGAGAAAAAAAATCAAAGCCACTGTATTGCATATCATGAACACCTGCACTGGAGAAATGAGTTTTTCGTTATTTCCGACAAAAATAATTGACACTCAATATGCTGAAATTTTATAAAATTTTACAAATAAAAGTTTCAAATTCCAACCAAATCGGTTCCAGGATATTTATGAAATTTTATAATTACCGTTTTTTTCCTGTCATTTCAATGCCCTGTATCTCAGAAACGAAGCAACTCCGGACATATGTTCATAGGAACATTTCTTCTTGAAATGACCTAACGAATCACCCCCTCCAGTTAGGAACCGTAGTTAGGAAACACCTTGTATATACGAATGATAATATATACAAATGATAATATATAGGTGTACCTATATTGAAACCGTCACTTTTATGACGTTGCAGTGACGTATCTATGACGTCCAAGAATCACGTCGGTGTGACGTACCAATTTGGTGAGCTTCGTCATTCAGAAAATTTTTCAATAATTTGCTATTCAGATTTTTGTTGGGTGACAAATAATGCATGAATATACGTTACTCAACAAAGTGAAGCTAAATTCACCAACATCCTTTTCATTGCTATCAAACTATTTTTGGTTTGCTTACATTTCGCCGACACAAACTACATAAGTTTTGATACAAATACGAGTATCTGATTTTATTCTGATGGAAATGCGTACTGAGGGATAGCGCTGCTGAATAGACGATTGAATGGACATGACACCGGAGGGACCACCAAGCAGACTCAACAATTCATTATGAATATTATGTCATCAGCGGTCAGTGGTGATTATCACACCATGTGCGAGAAAACTTTTTTACGTGTCATCACCAAATTTGAAAGTAATTTTGACGTCTTTTCGACGTCAGTCCGACGTTATAGTTTGGTGAGTGAATGACGTCAATTAACGTGAGTAAAATGACGTCATTAGTCTGTGACTCAGTCACCTCATTTATCACGTCATACGACGTCAACTCCTGGCGTCACATTGGTCATTCAACTGATGTGAAAAGACGTCACTGAAAGGTCATCTGGTTGCCTGGGATGTTAAGTGGGGTTCTTCCATAAAAAGCGTCGATCAATTTTTACTATGATGAGCAAAGATGGTTCAAATTCAAGGAGAGAGAAGTGTTTGTGTGTCTCTTGAAATGAAATCTGGATGCTATATTGAAAAATACCGATGACGTCATTCCTCCTACACGAATTCTGAATGTATAAAATCAATTTTTGTTGTTTCAACTTCGTTCCTCAACTAATATATCATCATTTGATTGACAAGTTTTCTTCCAGATGTCGGAGGTCTGTGTCCAACACAGCTCCTTTCCGACTGGCAGAAACTGCAAAAAGTCCATGGCACGCAAGAAACCAGTCCAGAAACAGAGGCCGGCATAAAACTGTCCAGACGCGTTCTGACGTGCTGTTGGTCCTCTGTGGTGGCCGTATTAGGAACACCTCTGGGGGAAAAACCAAATTCTAGTGGAACATCCGCTCTCGGTAGGCTGGTCGCTAGGAAGTCACGGCAGAAACATCGACAGAAGATGCTGGATGATATCATGACGGTTAGCCTAGAAGGTCTGCAGAAGGTAAGTGTTCACTAGAATACAAAATTCCACCCAGGTAGCACATCCAAATGTGAAAATAATATCGATCCAATATGAGAGTATATCGAAAATACAATATTTTAATGAAAATGTTGGTGGAATAGTGGTTCAACCTGAGCTAAATGTGGGTTGTCAGCTACATTATTGAAGCGATATTAGTTGAAAAGCAAGTTTACACTATGTGGAAAAATATATACTTACCTATATAAATGTTATATAATAATGTTCCACAAATGTCGGTACAACATTATCGTATACATTTTGTTTCCATCAATTTGAACCAATATAGTGATTTGAAGATTTTCCCCATGTCGATTCTGAAGCGTTTATGCAATATTGTATATTCTAGGTCGACAGCACTTTGGTTGAATATTGTTTCTACAATATTTGAAACATCATATTCACCTATATTGATTGATATTGGTCTAACTATATTACGCTGAAAATATTGAATGTATATTGTTTCAAAGATGAATATTTACATATCATAGAAGAGAAAAACAATATTGTATTCCCAAGTTGAATTGGATATCGGTAACATATTGTTTTGAAGATACATATCGATATCGGCATTTCGATATGTTTTCAATATCACTCTCGAACCTATGTCGATAGATGGCGATATGAATGATTGGTAACGTACTCCCAGTGCCGTTCAGATAAGAAAATATAAATATTGGCTCGAGACGATTGAAAAGTATACCCAGGTGAGTATACTTTTCAATTGTCATTAGCTAGGTATCATGAAAAAATATATATAATGTTATCAGAAGAATGATAACCTTAGTGAAAAGACCGGAATAGACAAAACTCGTGCATTTGAAGAATTTATTGCATAGCTATGATGAAACAAGCAATCTCAAAAAGGTGAAGCTGACCACAAATATTGAGACACTAGATACCAAGAATATCAAGATCATGGGCCGTGAAGAACGGTTCATCAGATGCACTCGTACAATTTTGTTTTCTTTAGTGATGTAGATGAGACAGTGAAATTGAAATTAACTTCCATACTCATTGAACGTCACTTTATCCACCTCGCATGGCTCGAAAACTCGAGAACTCAGTTATATTTCACAAATGCTAACATCATAATGAGACCGTAGGAAATGGGAGTGGTCGCGTTGATCGAAAGCACCCGAATATTATATCGGAGATGTCCGAACGGCGAGAAGGTGTAAAACCACAGGTGAGCAGTCACCTACACCAATCGACTATCGATGAGTTCGCTCAGAGCTAGTGATTTTGTCCCAGAAAGATAATTTAATTATGGTGAGCACTAGTTTGGTGTTCACTATAATTAGTGACTTCAAAATATACATCGATTTGGTAAATACTACGAAGTGTTTAGCAGCAGAAACATTGTTTCAGAAATATTGTTTCGCGTACCTACATCAAGTACTTTATTTTCCTACCGTTGGTGAAAATGTTCACAATCGACTTTTTGTCGAGAAAACTGCCTACTTAGCCGAGTTTCCCAGTGCAAGGGGGCAACTCAAGAGAGACACTAAACAGGTATATAATATCTGAGCTCATCGAAACCCTGTATTTTCTACTAGAAAATTGCCGATTTTCATTTTCGTTCGGTTAGGTTTCGCTCAAATGGCGGTGTTCAGACTACACAACAAGATCGAACGACAAAATCCCGAAACCGATCTGAAGTTGTCGAGAGATTATCTGTCATCTACCATTCGGCCGTGGGCCCACCATGTACTCACGGCGTCGGGGTGGGGGGTAGCATCAGGTGATTCCAGACACCGCTGGTTAAAAGCCTGAGGTCCCCACTTACCGCGAACGGATACCCATCAAACGGGACTAGAGGATTCTGATCGACATGGGTAGCTGGGCTTGCTCAGCGAAAACTGGAACTTTGGTGTACCTCGTGCCTTAGTTCGTCAGGGAGGGGGTAGCCCCAAGCGATCCTATCGCCAGTCATCATAGGTAAAGCCGGGTCCTCTCCTGTAAACGAGGTAGAGGAACGTGTAAAAGTCCTCGAACGATCACTCATTCAACTGGACGAGAGGATTCTTGTCAACATGAGTAGCAATCAGGCGAAAGCCTCTTGCGACGGCGACCCATCAAACGTAACAAGAGGAATCTTGTTGACATGGGTCCTGGGGTGATGAGGATAGCCCCATCAGGCCGTACATACGGCCTGGTGCCTCACCAATTGGGTTGGACTCCAGGGGGCAGCGGTTTCCAAAAAAACACCACCGGACTACGGTAGAAGAGGTGAAGAAGAATCCCACTATAGGTCAAGTGGGAGGATATCTTGCCTGCCTCGGCGGGTGAGCAGCGTTTCTGCTCGGGCACTGACACTGCAGAGCCAGTAGTCTGTTTTATCAGACGGCCTCACCATTGGTATAATGAAATGGTAGCAGGAGAACATGCCGTTACATAACGGAGATAGCTCTAGCGCGCTGATTTGGCGTATCTAAATCTTCCATTTCTCTCTGGGGTGTGCTGTCGGTTTAAGTCGAGAGACAGGTATCCGGCAGTCATCCCCTAGGGGAGTCTTGGGAAAGGGGGGTGAGACCAGTTCTTGGTCTCACCCGTTGCTACCCCGGCAAGATTACAACTGTCATCTACCATTGCTGGACGTGGGTCTACCATGTACTCACGGCGTCGAGTGGGGGTAGCCCCAGGTGACTCCAGGTACCTCTGGTTGAAAACTTGAGGTCCCCACTCTTGTCAAGGTAGTGGTACGTGTGAAAGGCTGCGAACGGGCACCCATCAAACGGGACTGGAGGATTATGTTCGACATGGGTAGCTGGGCTTGATGCTCAGCGAAAACTGAAACTTTGGTGTACCTAGTGCCTTAGTTTGTCAGGAAGGAGGCAGCCCCAAACGATCCTACCGCCAGTCATCGTAGGCAAAGCTGGTAGATCGAGGAACGTGTAAAAGTCCTCGAACGATCACCCATTCAACGGGACGAGAGGATTCTTGTCAACATGAGCAGCAATCAGACCAAAGGATCTTGCGACGGCGACCCATCAAATGTAACAAGAGGAATCTTGTTGACATGGTTACCTGGGGTGATGAGGATAGCCTCATTGGGTCGTACATACGGCCTGGTGCCTCACCAATTGGGTTGGACTCCAGGGGGCAGTGGTTTCTAAAAAACACCACCGGACTACGGTAGAGGAGGTGAAGAAGAATCCCACTATGGGTCAATTGGAACGATATCTAGCTGCTCGGGCACTGACATTGCATAGCCAGTAGTTTGTTTCATCAGACGGCCTCACCATTGGTATAATGAAATAGTAGCAGGAGAGCATGCCGTTACATAACGGAGATGGCTCCAGCGCGTTGATTTGGCGTATCCAAATCTTCCATTCCTCCCTGGGGTGTGTTGTCGTTGAAGTCAAAAAATAGGTGACTGGCAGTCATCCCCTATGAGAGTATTGTGGAAGGGGAGTGAGAATTGACCCAACTCGTTGCTGCTCCAGGCAACATTATTGATTGATTAATTGTCATCTACCATTGTTGTTGTTAATCTCGTCGGACACTTGTAGAATTTTTTGGATTTTCATTACCCTGTATATTCGTAATTTCAATACCTTTTATTTCAGGCTGCTAGTCTCAGCAACACCTTGAAACTGCAAGCAAGAAGCAGCAGCATCTTGGCTCTGCTGTCTTCATCTTCGTGTAAGAGTTTGGGAGCCAAACTGCTAGCTTCGCATGCGCTGTCTCTAGATGTCCTTTTATCAAAAGGTACTCACTCACTTACTGTGAATAATATAATTCTTTATCTCCAATTCTATACATGAATCAACTATATTAGTTATATTTCTCTCTGTCATTAGGATGAGGAAAGTATTGCTGATTACTAAATTTCGTAAATAGCCAGTTCGCATTTTTTATGGAAAAGCAGATAATGTGTTTTGGTACCTCGGTTATTAAAAATTTGAAAATTTCATTTTCTCAGCAGATTTCCAACCGAATCATTTGATTCATATTAGAAATCAGAGATCATTTCTAGCAAGCGCATGAGATTCCGTTTTTAAATTAACAATAATGAGTATTCATATTCTAGGTCATCAATTCTTGAAGTTGTTCAGTAATTTCGGCACCATGGTCATCTCCTGACAAAATAAAAAGTAAAGTGGGATCCATGGTCCTGAATGAACGTACGGGGGATGTACAAATGCTCGAAATCTGGACGTCCTCAGTACGTACCTATAGTACGTTTACGGTCCTGATCTGGACGTCCCCAGTACGTACGAAACGTCTTGGCCTGACTTTCTCAGTATGTTTTAGGGACGTACTGGTGCTATATGAATAGAAATTAGGAATTGAGAAAAAAAACTAACTGTACTTCAGAGATTTTTTATTCTTAATGAATCACCCTTAATCCAGTCATTTGGTGACGAAAAGCTGGAATCATGAAAAAGTTGCTAAAGAATTTTTCTCGACGGATCAACATATATGGTTTTTGTGGTGCTGAACCTGAAAATCTAGTTTCGACTAGATTCGAATATGGCTTCACCACGAAAATCGCAATAAACCATGGAAATTCGGGAATTCTGATTATTTGCTTATAGCTCCGAAACGACGTGATTCACAGAAAAAAATAAATCGTACAAAAATGAAAGCCTATAAAATTTACTCTGAAATAAGATCAAAATCAGCTCGATATCTTGTTTGACTCAGCCGTTAAAGCACCTTGAAAATTGACAATAGTTTTAAAGTTGTCCAAAACATTCGTATTTCAGATTTTAAATTAGTATACAGTGTGTCTCACTATGGAGTGTCCTGAACCTCCTTCCCCAACATTTATTTCATGCCTTCATTTTTAATTTCCCTCCAAATCACACATATACATCAATTGAGCCTCATTCTGAATCTAACACGAAAATTAAAATTTGTCTAGTACTATTTTCTATCCTCTTGAAACAATCTCGATTGTCACACAGTTAGTTGCTTACTGATTTGTTTCAAAATTTATGTTATTTTTCCATTTTTCGTGAGTGAGTAAAAATGCCAAACGATAATTATTGTATACACTTTGTGATGAGACGCTGCACGATGGAACCGAAATTGTGAGTGTGCAGAGAGGGTTGAAAGCCATTGTAAAAGCTAGCGTGAGGAGGAAAGACGGTGAAAATGATATGTTGGAGAGATCAGACTCTCTCACAGTTCATGTTTAATGCAGGAAACAATACACCAAGGAAACGAATATTGTTGCTGCTGAAAAAAAGGCTAAAGAGGGCAATCCTCCTGCGCAATTACGATCAGCTAAACATATTTTTGCATTTCGAACTCATTGTTTCCTGTGTGGTAATGAAATTCCGAAGAACTACGCTGCGAAACAAAAAAGTTGACTCCATCTGCACGTGACCCTGTCTATCAGGTGAGAACGATGAATGTGAGAGGTAATGTTATTCAACATGCCAGTACTTTGAATGATGAAAATTTCATTAGTTTTCATTTTTATCTGCGCTAATTTTTCTCTATATCAAGTCGTTTCGGAGTTATGAGCGAAAAACTAAAACACCTACCTACCAATTTTTCGTAATTTTCTGCCATTATTATGGTGAAGCCTTATCCGACTCTAGTCGCTAACTGAATTTCAGCATCTTAAAGAACATATGAATTCGTTGAGAAAAATCCTTCAGCAATTTTTTCCTGTCCAAACTACCAATAGCACAATCACCTTATAGTATATCAAATTTGACGAATAGCGGGAATCGAACCGAAGTTTTGAAAATTGGTGTACATGTTCACTTTGGTATGACATTCAACCAAAAAAAAGTCACCAGCTGTACCTGTAGAGCTAACTCCGCCATCTTGAAAAATGTGTGCACTTTTTCAGTTATTCGGTTATATCTCAATATCTGTTGACTTTATCGAGATCAATATGCCCAGGTTGAATGAAGGTAATTGAATTTAGAAAAAAAAAGGCCCCCTACATAAATATTCGTGTAGTGCATGGTTCTCAGTAAATCGTAAAACAATATGCGATATTTGAGAAACTTACTCACAATTAATCTGATATACATAATTATATTCCATCTACAAGTAAATGTCAGAGAGTCGGCGCCACATTCGAGGATCCTCGCAACAGCGATCGGTCATTACAGAATACCAGTGTTGCCACATATCCAGGTTTTCTCAAGTGAGCCGACCTGTAACCTAAAGTAGCTCGAAGAGCAAGAGTTTGATGTTGAAATAAATGAATTGTAGCCCCTATAAACTCAATCAAATCATTATTCCAAATTTTTTGGGATTTTCTCTCCTCGTTTCTAAAAAATAAAAATATGAATATTATTTCAATATACGTGTAGTAAGGACAAATCAGATGATTTGCCCCAAAATGTCACTGCGTTTAAAGAATTTTCCTATCAGGAAGGACCAGCCGTCATTACGAGAAGTTGCGAAGACTTTCAACAACCCGGTAGCAGCGAGTGAAGAAGTATCTGCAGCAGGTGAACGATTCGTTCTAGCTCTATATAGTGCCCATACAACGGAAACATCATTGAACAAGCACCGGTACAATATGTTCGCTAAATCTGCTACCAACAAGAAAGTAGATCTGGCTTCTCTGCCACCGACGGAAGCAGCTTTGAGGCAGCACGCCTTTAGAGTCAATCACCAGGTACAACAGTGATTGGGTAATCAAAAATGTCCTGAGCTTTGGGGGTGGAAGAGGAGTGCTGTTGGTCTGGTACCTGTGCCCACTACCCTATCTGCTGCAACAGAATCTTTGCTCCAGATAATTTCTTTCAATTGCAAGGAAGGATGCACGGCATCGTTTTTTCCCGTTTCATCCCTTATGAGTAATGAATACGGACGAACCCGACCCGATGTATGTATTCTCAAATGACGAAGTTGACATGCTTCATTCTCCAGAAATTTAAGAAGAACACCAATCCCTACCTTATCTCCCTTGGTCTTCACGATGTTCTCTGAACATTACAGGATATCCCTTCTCGGGGAACTAGAACATAAAAAAAGCGAATACTGATAGGATGAAACGTAATTATGATTTCAGCTTGTCTGGACTTTAATTGAATGATTATAGCTATAAATGCTTTTCTGCAAGTCACCAGGAGCGTATCTAACTGAATTATAGTTTGTCCAGTCGGTTTGCAGTAGAATATCATATTTTGCCAAATGGTTGTGGCGACATAAGTCCAGAACCGTGGATATTTCGAAAATAATTGAAAGATACTTTTTCACGAGAAATTTTGTTGGCTTCCTTTCACCTGATTAGCTTTATCGCGATAAAGTTGACAGTTACCGAGATATACGTGAAAAACTGAAATATTGCACCTATTTTCCAAGATGGCGGCGCAAGCTCTACAGGTACGGGTGATGACTTTTTTTTTGTTGAGATGTAATGCTTAAAGGAACACGTACACCAATTTTCAAAACTTCGGCTCCGATTCCCGCTATTTTTCCTAAGGTGACTGGGCTACAAATGATTGGACTACCTGTATATTGATTCCGTGCATTCCAGGTCTGGAGCTTGGCTGCCACAGTGCCGCCTGTTGGTCGCATGTTTTCAGCGCATGCGTGGCAGTGGCCAGTCTGGAGCATTGTCTGTTTAGCAAAACCGGGTCCACGCAACTGCTGATGGTTGCACAGAACACGCAGAACAACATCGTTACGTCCATGACTAGTTCGGACTCGCATGGACGATTTCACAGGGGTTTCAATATCTCCAACGAAGAAGAAACTTGGTGAGTCAAAGATCTGAGACATTAGTAATATTCTTTTTACCAACTTTGACTGAGATTAACCAACATTCTCAGTGCAGCTAAATAGCTCAGTTGTATTACATGTTTCATTTATCTTAGCCTGATATGAGTTGTCTTAAGAACTTATTGAGACTATTTTTCCCCTCACCCCAAATGAGCTTATTGCTATTCATCTGGTGTTGTAGTGAGAAAAAGATGAGACTGGATTAATTCCAGTAATTCTGTGGTTCTGTGCTGAAAATTGTGAGGTTATAATTTCATTTTGACATGCTTTCAGCTTTGAAGTTTCAGTCCACAGGTTGAATCCGTCGAAAAAAATTACTTTGCACTGTGCATGGTGACTCGGTCATTGCCCCCCTCCCCCCTTCCGTTGTGTTCCTGTTCAATCCTGACTATCATTAGCTATTCATATTTTCATCTAAAATTATGTAGCGAACGTCGGCGAGATGTAAGTGAAATAAAATGAGTTTGATTTCAAAGGAACAAAAGTTGGCGAATGAAGCTCCACATTTTAGAGGAACATTTAGATAAACATCTTCAATGAATAATATTTTGTTTTTGCTTATCAATTCTGATAGGAATAGATATCAGGATATACAGGGTCATGAATGGGACAACTCAAGGACATTTCAATACTAAGCATAAAAGGGACGTAGATAGTATATCCCTGTGTTGTTAGGGTTATAATGTTTCTCTTTCCAATGATTCCACAAAAATCTTAAATCTGAAATTATTTCCAGCATAGACGTCTATAATTTCCTCCAAAATTCAGCGTACTCCTACGCCGAGCAAGCCAACGAAGCATGCATTGCTGAGATAGTGGAAATAAGTGGTGCCAACAATGCTCAAGGACAAGGCGTTCTAAGAGGTAAGCATACTGGAATCCGTTTTATTTCCCTGCGTTAAATATAATATGATGAAACTTTGGGTAGTATCGTAACATAGTAATCCATAAACCTCAAAAGTAAGGTCGTTATGAGCTATCCCGATGATTTGCCTAATCGTTACACATAGGACACTTGAAGTTTTTGTTAACGATACGCGTATCACTTCTTCTGAATCTACCAATTTTTTAGGAACATTTGTCGATAATAATATCAGCTGGAAAACGCATGTGATCTCAGTCTGTAAGCACAAACTTCTATGCAATGTTTCAATTGAAAAATATACTTGGAAAAAATGCCCTTCTTGACGTGTACTATGCCCTGATACATTCTATTATATCTTACAACATTATTTTATGGAGAAGTAGCACCCACATTGACAGAGTATTCATAGCTCAAAAGCGTGTTATACGACTCATATTCAATTTAAAACGAACCGATTTATGTAGACCCAAATTCAAGGAGTTCAAAACACTTACAACAACATGCAAAGTAAGTTACAAACAAACTCTCAGTCCCACAGATATCCAACAAGAAGTGGTGATTTGCTCAGAACAAAAAAACACATAACAACTTTATTCGGAAAATCACCTCAATTTTGTGGTATAAGGTATTTCAACTGTCTGCCTACCGAAATTAAAAAAATAACTTCACTCCACGTTTTTAAAAGAAGAGTCTAGCCTCTGAGGGTTTTTATTCAACCGATGAATTCTTCAACTATAAATTTCGAAATGTTTTTATTGTTCGTGATCTTGTGTTATACAATGTTCCCACTTCATTCCTTTCTTCAATTTTTTTTACATATTATCTACAAAAGTGAACGTTTCATATGTGTTATATATTGTATTTTGTATTAATACATATATGAATTTTTATGACATACCCTATATCATCGTAAAGTGATCTATTTGGGATGAATAAAATATTGTATTGTATTGTATTGTAAATGGCAACATAGCAAAAGAGACAACCCTGGTCCGCGCGAAGAGTGATCGAGTTGACAACCATTGTCATTTGCCATTGTCAAATTGTTTATTCACGAAATCCGATAGATTTCAAATGTGATAGGACCGTGATGTATATATGTATAAGTGTTTGAGGTCGACGAAAAAATGTAATATGCACCTCGGCAAAAAAAATTCTATTGTCTCGCCTGAATGCTAGCCTCGGCTATCAGTTTGCAGACTCGACTATAAAAGACAATTTCTTGTCCTTGGTACATGAATAACTATTAGGTTGCAAATAGGCAGGAACACTGATTTCTGAAAATAATACGGTGGTTTTTATAAAGATCACAAAAGGTACTGGATTTTTCATTATTTCTAGAATTTCCAAAATATTTTTTCAGGTGTGTATGCTGCCAAAGTTTGCTGTGTGCTATCTCAGAAATCCGACGAACTATTCCACTCTGCTGCCCTGAGACTTTCCCTACCTGGTTTGTGTAGTTTTTTGACCGAATTATGTATCGCCTCGCACACTCAGGTGAGCTTTATCAGTAGATGAACTGGGAGGATACGGGAACATTTCACCCCTATAGTATAGTCAAACCCAAGAGGCCAGCCGTGAACACTGTAGCATGCAGGGATCACGCATCAATAACGTGTTTACTGTAGTGACTTTATAGTTGCGTTTTATTTATTCCATTCTGGTAGCGGTGGTGGGAACAGAATGACGTTTACAAATAAAACGAGAAACTTCATAACCTTGCTCGAGAGAATTTACATAAGAGGTTATATTTGTAAATGGGAGATCCAAATAATTCAAAAAGCATAATACTAAAGCTATGAATCCAGAAAATGAATCAACTAATATTTGGAGCAGTGATTGTGGTGATTCAAGAAACTTTTCTGAGATCGACAGAGTTTATTTCATCTGAACATATGAAACCTGTCTTACTTGAAAGAATCATGAACTAGTGAAACTCACGCTGAAAATGTCTTCTAAATGTCTTTTACTTTCAAAAAGGTTCGTTTTTCGTCAATTTGCGCTGCAGATGCATCAAAACTTATGTATATAGGGCGTATTTGACAAACCCTATAGTCTTTGAGCGGTATGTGAAGTAAGTATCCCTGCAATGTCAAGCAAATGATAGTTACTGCCTAACACTGTAGTAACTTTTTAACAATCTTTCGTAAGTTGGTAAATCCGCTATTTAAAATTCAAAATAAAAATAGAAAAAAAGGTATTTTCCGCTATGAAACTCTAGTTTTTGACAGATTTCAAGTCATACATTCACGTGGAGCTAATATCTCAATTTTCTTGGAAATGTCAGTTACCGCTTCTGCGTTTAGCAAGGCAGAATGGTTGTACACTTTTTTATTAATAAAAACTTTGATATGGAGGTGCATCCACCTGTTTTGTTTTCTCCATTCAATTCTACTCATTCTATTTCACTTTGACAATGCGTTGTCTCTGTATTTTGCTCCAAATCAATCAATTCAATCCAACAATCAGACATGGAACTGTATAAGCCAGTAGCTTGGATATTAACTAGCAGAATCCGTCTTTTGGGACTGAGTCTCAGATCATTCAGTCATACATTCACGTGGAGCTAATATCTCAATTTCCTTGGAAATGTCAGTTACCGCTTCTGCGTTTAGCAAGGCAGAATGGTTGTACACTTTTTGATTGATAAAAACTTTGATATGGAGGTGCATCCACCTGTTTTGTTTTCTCCATTCAATTCTACTCATTCTATTTCACTTTGACAATGCGTTGTCTCTGTATTTTGCTCCAAATCAATCAATTCAATCCAACAATCAGACATGGAACTGTATACGTCAGTAGCTTGGATATTAACTAGCAGAATCCGTCTTTTGGGACTGAGTCTCAGATCATTCAGATGATGTAATAAGAAAATATCAAATATCTGAACCTAATATCAGGTGGGCACTACGAAGGCGCAAAATCAATGCATGGGAGATACCCTTCGGATTTCAAGCTATTCAGTGACTTGATATTCCGGAAATGTCAGCCATTTGGATGTCAATTGTTGTCACTCTATTTATTGAATCACTCTAGTCTACTATTCACTAATGTGGTTCTACTGACGGTACATCCCTACTCTCGCCTACAGACAAGATACGTTCATGGCGCATCAACCAATAGAAAGGTAGGTATTTCAAATAAATAATCAGGCATTGATCAGTTCATTTACCGCTGGCCTCTTTTAGATTTAGCTATACAATGTGCAAGTTATTATATTCCCGAACAGTACTGACCAGTATATTTTATCGTTCCGATTTCACTGAAATTCACTGGCAACGTTTCCGTTGCGACGTAATATGCACTTCCCAAAGAAGTCTTCATAGGATATTGAAAGTATTGTTACTGTTCTTCTGTGGCATTTCTTTGTTTGCCTACTGAGGAAGTATTCCTGGGATGTTTCGAAAATGTTGCCATGAGGTTGTTCTTTTGAGACGTAATATGCACTCCCCAAAAAGGTCTCTGAAGGATCATCATATACCAATTTAGCATTTCAACTTGGAACAATCTCGATTGATATACAATTCGTCAGGACAAATAAACGAACAATCATGCATAATCTGTTTCTTGTATTTTTAATAGAAAAATCAACTGATTAGCTTGAAGTCGAATAACTTTTTACCAAAACTGATATAAAGCGCAAAAATAGCAGAAGATGGTTTCCTTGAAGGTCATTCGTCTCCGATCAGTATAAGCTACCTGCAAAACAACGATATAACAACATCTATAACAAGATGAATGGTTAAATACAAGGTGTTTGAGCTGACTAAAATATTCATCGCTTTGATGACACGCTCATATGACACTAAAGCATTTTTTCTGAATAAAATCATAAAAAAACATATTGTGCCATACGTCGTTGGATTAGCAATGAAAAAAGCTAGGTTATACAAAAACAAAGTTGATGATTGATTCTTTTGAACGAAACGTTAAACGAATATTTTGTGAATGCCATTTTGAGCACCGAGCAAGGAACATCCCGGGGAGGTTTCTTCACGTTAATTTCTTGTACCTTTGATGACCTCTTTGAGATAACATCTTTCAGAAGTGATAATATCATATTTGGGAGATGTTTTAATTTGTCCCTCATTAGGGCTGTCTCAGCTACATCTACAGAAGGACGTCGCTGTTTCGTTACAGTAAACTGATCTATGTACGTCTATGCGATCTTCTTCGAGTCTATATTTCAACGTATCCTTCAGATCATTCTTATTTCATTCCCAGAACGTTTTATGTGACGTACATATACGTTCACTCAGAGGAATTGTTGGCAGTAAATACCAAACATTTAGTAAAATAGGCGCCAGTCATTACTTTCATCAAATAATACCACTACAAAATTGTATTATAGTAAACTATAAGTATCATACCATTTTTTAGTGGCAATATTTGATATAGTTTAGTATATGTAAAATGTTGTGTATATTATAATGAGAAGTACGTGTTTTAATTGGCCTTAATCTGTATCATTATGAAAATCCGTGTTGAAATGAACCATATAAAGAAATCGGTAGCAGCTATTTGATTCGCGTATTGTAATACGGGAGTAGAAATAGTATAAACCCAGCGAGCACAAACATCCCTGGGATGTTTTGGGATGTAACGAACAGAAAGGAATTTGGTGAAGTTTATTGTGTTAGAAGACTTATTTAGTTTGTAATAATGACCATCAGATGCAAGATGTGTTGTTCGGTGCCTCAGTGTAATCAATATATAAAAGTACGAATTTATCAATACACAGCTTCTCCGCAGTTGCAAAATTATGCATTGTGGAGAACATTTCAAAAATTGGGAAACCTATTTCCAATTATATGTCTGTGTGTAGTAAGCACTACTCAGAAACCGATTGAGAAGGTGATTTCATATCAAGAAAATATTTTTATGTTCAATCTATTTTTAATGCATTTTTTCATTCAAGGGAAATGGAATCCTAATGCAAAAGTTCATTTTGACAAAAGGCTTCAGAAAAGTACCTCGAAAATGGTTTTTTAAAGCGATTTAATGTGCGCAAGACGCGTTGAAAATGTTTTGTTGTGTCCATGAAAAGGCTTTAAAAAGAACTAGGGAGAGGGTAGTTTTGTGACATATCAAGGACATCTCGATAATTGCCGCCTGCGGCGGACATTGGCTGTTCTGTATAATAGTTCTATTCATGTGTGAACAGAATATCGCAGTGAAGGTTCAATGTCTCAAAATCTCGTACTTTTAACATCTCCGAGATGTTTTTGTGCTCGCTGGGAATTCACCACAATAATCTGTGACCTCTAATAACTATTGTAAACATAGCACGATAATCTCGAATAATTTTACTTGCACATAATGAATTCTACATGAACACATTACCTTACCACATTACCAATTATATTACCTATTACTAGTATCGAATTCTTTCAGTTGTTCACACGATATGAGGAATCTCCTAGACGTCAGAAAAAATGGTGGAAGAAAGAACTAGATGTTCAACAGAAACCCCCAGTTACTCTGCTTCTTCATCGGATCGGCGAGGTGACTTTGAAGTGCATAAAATCCGGAAGACCGCTCATCCATATCATGAAAGTCTGGTTAGTCATGATTGCCCTATGTCAACGAAATCCATACATCATTTTAAAGAAAAAATAACTGATGTAACGAGATGAAAGAATACAAGGTGCTCTGCGCAAATTCATCAATTTATCCATCAGAAGTAGTGATTGCAATCATTCGACATGCACCATTTCTCAATATCATCATAAAATATCTCACAAAAGCAGGAAGCAATGCTGCCACGGTAATACGAACTCACATGCAAAAAAACGGTCACCAAAATCTCTATATTATACAGTATGATGCAAATGTATGAAATAAATTCATTTTTTCAGAAATGGGCGACATTTGAAAAAAATCCAAAAACACGTGAGTTTTAATTTCTGAAGCCTCATCTCATGATATTCATATGAGAGATGTAACGTCATCGGTGTTGGAGTAAAGACGTAATGGACGATTTTTTCAAATACAAATAGGGGTCATGTGACACCTTGATTGAAAGGTCTACCGATCGTCTATTCAACAGTCAAAATGTTGCATAAGAAGATTGAAATTAAAATGGATTATCATGTGATTAATTGAATCTTGCAGAGGTCTGCTACTGGGAATTGAACATCGAAGGGTCGTCTAGTTGAAAAAATACGTCGAAAAAAAGTTCTGAACTCTAGTTTTTTTTTTTTTTTTGAAAGTCGTCTTGTTTTGAAATGAATTTATTCCATACATTTGCATCATACTGTATATATATATAATATAAAATAAAACTCGTTTATACATAGAACGGCAAAGCCTTGTAAGTTTTTGCCTAACAGAGTATTCCCAAGAACTTATAATCTCAAAAAGTTGAAAAAATCGCAATACCTCTCCCTATCCTCCCTAGGTACCCACAATGTTCCCCGAACATTATAGGGACTTCCTTTGGTACACTCCACGAGATGAAAAAAAGGTGGCCGTATCTCTTCTTTTTTTTTTCTCATATCTTGTTTGCCTGTGAGTTCACTTTGGCCTTTTGACAGTGTGGAAACAACCTATCAAAATCTCAATGGAATCTGTATTCAAGCAAGTAATAAGCGTGGACGTTTCCCTTTCTTCACATTTTTGAAGTGACATTCTGCGTATTTTTGATGTGAACGTATTTTCGAACGAGCATATTATTAGCTGACTATGCTGCGTTATTGCTATGGACTTCTGTTTATACTAAAATATAGTGGTTAGGCCATCAGATGGCGGTGTCAAGTCAATTTCCACAATATTGTGACATTCCCCTTTTTTTCCCTGTGGTCTTCAATTGAATTGTCACGCTAAAAAAAATTTGTCGCTGTAAAAATGAAAAGGTATATGAATCGAAGGGAAGGAAAATGTCAACATTGTCATAACTGCTAAAAAAAATAATTGATTATTGTTGTTGTGTTGCATTAGGTCGATAGTGGGTCCGCATTTCATGCAAGCAGCCTGTCACAAGGACAGAACGATATCCAAGAAGGCTGTGACTTGTATTCACGACGCGGTGACAGCTTTACTCAACGAACAGGCGGAGTTGCCTCATTTCCATTTCAACGAAGCTCTCATCAAACCTTTTGAGAATCTGCTCTGCCTTGAGCTCTGCGACATTGATGTACAGGTATGTTTGTAGAAGACCGAAACATAGGGCTTTGCGAGACCAAGACCAAGACCCATCAGTCTTGGTCTCGAAAAATAAATGTATTGTTGATCTTGGTATTGGTCTCAATGTTTCAAGACCAAGACGAGACTAGCTCATTCTTGGTCTTGATCTTGATAGTCTTGGTCTTGAATCAAAATGCGTCTAGGAATTCGAATTATTCAATTCAAATATCCATCATTTCATATGCATATAATAGGTATTTCGTATTTCTCAGTCTTTCAAATTGTCAATTTTTGCGTATAAAGTAAGCGATATAAATTTCTCCTTCTACCATAAGAAAATGATTCATGAGAAACCTGGAATAAACATCAAATGAGACCCAAACAGCAAACAGGCCAACGCCCGACAGGCCAGAAAAAATGTTCAAAAGGATCGGAACTGACAACAACGCATTATCAAAATATTTCAAAAAATTTCAAATTCAAACCGAATAAAGTTTGTATTAAATTTGTTTCTATCTCCAATAGGAGGAGGTATGGACCACTGTGGCCTTACAACATACACCTATTTATTGTAAACTTTGAAATTGCAGTACTGAATTTGAAAATTTTATTTCGGATTTTCTGTGAAACAAAATTTTTAACCTAATAAGTATATGACGAATGAATAACTGATGGACCTGGCGAACGAGTTCAGTCTCCTAGAGGAGAAGGTAAATCTTTCTGAGGTGCTCAGGGCTGTTAGGGACCTGAATGCAAGCATCGGAAATGAAACAACCCCAATAAGAATCTTGCAAATCGTGTCAGGATTCGCCCAGAAAATCGGCAAATACGATATTAACGGTGATAAATTGGCCTCAAGATATACAATATCAACATAAACGGCATCAACGGTAAGATGCCGAGTTTTGTTAATTTTGTATATCGCCACAGATTGGACATTATTCTCTTGTCCGAGACCAGCGTTTTTATGTGAGGGGCTCAACCACTATCAGGGCTGATCGTCCTGACGCGGGAGGGCATGGGGAGTAGCTATCCTCATCAAAAATAACATACCCCACTCAGTGGTTCCGCGAAGGCCATGCTTGATAGAGCATGTCGGTGTGAGGCTGCTGAGTGGCGAGATCATTTTCTCAGTGTACAACAGGCCCTGGCTTAGGCTCTCGGAAGAGAGTCTAGAGGCTCTGTTCAGTGCTGGGGACAAAGTCATAGTGGAGGGTGACCTGAATGCGAGACACGGCGACTGGGGGAACGGAAAGAGTAACACCAATTGGAGGGTGCTGAGGGAGTATTTGCAGGCTGCAATGTCCTCCTGGACCACCCCGATACTCCCACGCATTACCCCTTTGGTGGAATTACACCGTCAACATTAGATATCGTGATGACCAAGAATGTCACCATAATGTCTGCCCTCGTGGTTGTTGAGGAGCTCAGCTCTGACCATTTGCCAGTACTTCACAGCTTTGGCAATGAAATACCAGAAGTTAAAAATAAGCTCTATGATTATTATATGACCACAAACTGGCAGATGTTCAGAGCCCAGCTCGACTCAAAAATAGAAATCAAAAATAATAAAGTAGAACCAGCAATAAATCTAGAAATGCTAAAATTTTGTAACGCCATAATAGCAGCGAGGGACAGAAGGACAAGGTTGGTCAGCATCGACTCCACCAAGGACAAACTCCCTTGAGCTCATCTCTCAGAAAAAACGTCTAAGAAGAAGATTGCAGCGGTTGAGGACTCCTCAATCGAGAGGAGACTTCAATCGCATTGCCCAACTCATAGAGATGAGAATTAGAGAGCACAGACAAACCTCCAGGAGAGCCAAGGTGGAGACTCTAGATCCCCGAGATGACACTCTGTGAAAGATGACCAGGAGGTTGAAGAGAAGATTCACCCCTATGCCTTCCTTGGAGTGTGATCGCGGGAAAGCGGTGCTAGATCCTCAAAAGGTGGAGGTGTTTGGGAAGTACTTTCAATCTATTGATAAAATAAATAAGATCCCTGTGGGGGCAATCCAGAAGGATGTGACGGACGTAGCGATCCGAATTAGGGCTCTGCCTGCGGTGCCTCTGTCCCGCCGTGAGTGAGTCACTTTGTAACCCGACAGAAATCTCCAACATCATCAATTATTTGAATATCAATAAGGCACCAGGACACGACGGGATAGATGTCGTTCTCTTAAAAGAACCTGTCTTGCAAAGCCAGAGTCCAGCTTCACTATATAATTGATGCTATTATCAAGTACCAGCATTATCCAGATTGCCTGAAGACCAGGCTTGTTATACCCATTCCAAAATCAGGAAAAAATCTCAAACATCCGGGAAGCTACCGCCTCATATCCCTGCTCAGTGTGGTGGCAAAGGTGATGGATAGGGTTTTACTCAGACTGATTGAGGCTTATGTCGAGCGTTTGGAACTGATCCCTGCTGAACAGTTCGGGTTTCGGAAGGGACATAGCATCACGTCCCAAGTGGCCCGAATTGTTCACGGGGTGAAGGAAGCCTTCAATCAGGACAAAAACACTGTGATGGTCATGATGGATGTCGAAAAGGCTTTCGACACTGTCTGGCACGAGGGTTTGATGTCCAAAAAGTCTAAGGCTGGAGTACCTATTTTTATCATTAGAATTGAAGACTCGTTTCTCAATAATCGAAAAATCAAAGTAACGGTGAATGACACTATCTCTGGAGATTTTCGAGACAGGTGTTCCACAGGGGTCGTGTCTGTCTCCTCTTTTGTACTCAATGTACACATACGACTTTACTGTGTTTGAGAGGACGAGTGCTGCATTATATGCTGATGATACAGCGTTGTATGCGCACTCGTTCGACTCGGACATCGCCAAGACTCACATCCAGGTTCATCTGGACAGGGGAGTCAGTTCCAACTGGTCGGGCGTTAGATGCTGCATCGAAACTATCAAAATCTGTTTATGATATGAAAACGACGTCTAACCTGACTTGTCAGTACTCACTGTGATTCTTGCAACGTTGGTTACGGGCCATGCATTACAGAGGAGAAATGGTCTGATGTTTTTGCAAGAACATGTTTCAATTGTGTTTTTTCACGCACATTCTTGAGTACTGAGAGCGAGGAAAATATGGACGCATCCAGAATGAATTGTTTTTTCGAGAACAAGTTGATTTTCATTCAATTCTTCTCCCAACCGAGATTCGGAGGGCGTTCCAGGTTTGGGTCACTTTCAAGAACACTCTAGATCGTTGATAGCCATCTTGAGTCAATTCTGATATTCAGAACTCTTCATCTGAAGTTTTATCTTCAAAATGAGCCTAAGATTTCCAAAATCGGTTGACGTGGAAAGAAGTTATGGCTGCAAAACCAAAAAGTCGATTTTTTGAGATCACTCTGTAAATAAGAGAGATAGGAAGTTGATTCGCGAAATATCTCGAGGTGATGAGATCATCTTCATGCCTCTGTTGTCGAAGTTGAGAAAAAATTTTTTTTTCACCATTTGAGAGCCTTTTGAATATTCCGAAATTTTGCACAGTGTCGGAAAACACCATGTAGAGAATTTATGTGAATACCCTCATGTTTCAATGAACTACCAGATTATAGCTGAAGGACTGGGCTATCGAACAGTGTGAACCAAATTCAAATTGTTCTAAACTGAAAAAAGTTATTAACATTATAACAGGGGCGACATCTTGGCGTGCGACGAAATTAGTGTTGAGTAGTTTAATTCAGAAAACTCAGGGTGCGATCAGGAGCTTCTATCCTCTGTTGGCCCGAAATTCCGAGCTGACATTGGAGCTCTTGAGCTATAAACAGATCATTAGGCCTGTAATGACATACGCCTGTCCGGTGTTCTGCAGCGCCTCACTTACCCAAATCGGTAGGTTACAGGTGCTGCAGAACAAAGTTCTCCGTATCATTATAAATGGTAATCGATTCACTCGGGCGGCGAATCTCCATGAGATGTGTCAGAACATCACTACCACCAGAGCTGAACATGAAATCTATAAAAAGCACGGACTGGTTAACGAGCCAACCAACGTTTTTGGAGAACCCCTAAGGGATTAATTAGTACGATTCTCAACACGAAAAACATAATCTGTGAAAATTTCGGGAACAATGTACCTGAAATTCTCAACATCGATACGAACTGCAGCGTTACGAGTTATGAGTCTCGCTGGCGTCCGAGTGACCTCTGCTCATATATGTGGGCTGCTCCTGGAATACCGGCGTGTATGAGCGGAAATCGCATAGCCCGCAGCGGCAGGTAGATAGAAAGGGTTTTTACTTTCAATGAACCAGAAAATTTCCACACATGAAATTGTTTGCATTCAACCCTGACCCAACTGGGTCCACCTCATAAATTACTCATTATGAGAAGCCTATCGCTTCGGGAGATGGGACTCGTTGCAGCCTAGACTCTGATCAAGGATACACGCCTCCTCGGCTTATATATTATGTGTATTTTATCAATTGTCTGTATTTTATAATGAAATAAATAATGTTCTCGGATCGATTCCCGGTAGAAGCACATTTTTTTCAATTACTGTCTGATCATTCATGTCATTCCTACTAGAAAAATAATTATACTTTATATATTATTTGTATGAAATGTATCAATGAAGAAAAGAATGTAATGCAATAACTGAAATAAATAAATAAAATAAGATCGTTTCTACTCAGTCTAGATCTCTATTTCTACTATCTGAGTAGAAAAAGGCGAATCCACGTTGATTCAGGTATTCATGGTCCTGAATCTGAATGAACGTCCCCAGTACGTACGAAATGTCTTGGCCAAACGTTCTCAGTACGTTTAGGGGACGTACTGGTGCTATATGGGACTCTATCCTATATTATACTCACAGGAAGACTTCCACAGTCAATTTCTCTTGCCTTAGAAACTCACCTACAAAAAATCTTGAACTTAAACAATATTTTATGATAATAACATTTATCATTCGATTGAAGTGGTGACATTTCGCGATTTGTCATTACAATCAACTGCCCCTGACCTTCAAACCCTTTGTTTTCTAGGACCAAATCGTGTATTGCCTTTGCGAATTCGTCGAAGCCAATAGGACTGAAATCAGCTCTGGCTGGCGGCCACTTTTCGGCACCTTGAGAGTAGCAAGTTCCAAAAACAGCGCCACAGCCATCCTCGAAGTATTCAAAATCTTCCTATCGACAGATAACACTCTAGTTTTCGCCAACGCAGCACTGGACTACATATTATGCCTCCTTTCACACATCAAGAATTCCACCCTAGATGAAAGTGTGCCTGAACTCACTAACCAACCCAGCGACAAAAAGTCGTCCTTATTCCTGGACAAAGAAGCTGAATTTCCCACGAAACTTGGTTCCGAGCCAGTCGATTTATGTTTAGAATCACTGAAGCTGTTACAAAATTGCGCTGCTATTTTAACAGCTATCTACCACATGCCCAAGTGCCCAACATTCAACTTGACGCACAGAGTCAATATAGATATTTTCCCTCAATTAGTTGATCCGGTCATCCAAAATCCGGAAGTTAACAGCTTCAATCAAACCGACCACAACCAAATGGGTTACGAGCTATTGTCCACGCAAAACGACTTCGAGAATTGCGAGAAAGAAAACATGACGCTAGCCCACATGGATAAGCCAGGCAACGTCCTCAGGATATACTACATCCTCCTGGAAGGCCTAGCTTCAGCTTCGATACTATCAGCCGTCAAAAATCAGCCGTTCATAGTGGAAACGCTGTTCAAACTGATTAGGGACCTCGTAACCGATCCTGGCATCAACTTCGGCTTTTATTGCATTAATCACATCGTGCTGCCCATGGTGCAAAACTGGTTGAGACAAACAGTGAAGGTTAACAGAGGTGGGGAAGCTTGGCAAAGCTTCAAGCACTGTTGCGGGTTGGCCAGCGAGCTGGTAGTGGAATATTTGTTCCGACTGAGAGACTCCGATCTGAACGAGCTGGAACATCCTGGGGCGACGCTGGCTTTGAAGCAGTTGCTGCTGATTTTGATCGAGTGCACGGCGCAGCCTTGCGAGAACATAGCTTTGCTAGGTTAGTATCTATCATATATTCATTCTTTCTTCCTTTACTGCCTCTCTGTTTACTTTATCGCCTCCTCAATTCGTTTCGTGTTTATATTTTCCGTCTCTTTTATTCATATATTCATATTCCCAATTCTCAATTCAAAAATACTCACGAATATCACAAAATACAGTTACATGGCTACTTATTCAAGACTTGAGTATATAAAAAACAGAAACGAATAGTAAAAATAAACAACAAAAATACAAAGCAAATGAAATAATTGAATGTAGCAATACCAGTCAGACGAACTAGACAAGCCCAGTCAGCACATCCTTTCGTAGTCAAACTCGAAAGATGTCGGACAGCACTTTATCAAAACTCCTAGAACGGCTAAGCTCTGGAATTCATTGCCTGAGGAAGTATTCCCAACAACATATAATCTCCAGAAGTTCAAAACAAATTCCAATACCTACCTCCTGTCCCTATCCTCCCTAGGATTGCACGATGTTCTTTGAACATTATAGGGCTCTCCTTTCGTGCGCTCCAAGCGATAAAAAAAAATGTAAAGAAACAAACTGTTATGAGAGAGGTATATCAAAAATTAAATTTGATCTGAATCAGACATAGTTTTGTCCTTCTTTGGTTTATACATGATATTCAGTGGTGTTTTTTTTTTATCGCTTGGAGCGCACGAAATATCATGCAATTCATAAGGGTATGTGATCTTCAAACGAGGGATTGAAATAAACTTGGTTATATATTCTGAATACATCTCGAATGCCTTAGACAATCAAGCGCAGGTTGATTCACTGTATACTGATTTCAGCAAAGCGTTCGATAAAGTCGATCACAACCTCCTTATATCGAAACTTTCTGGAATTGGTATACAGGGAAATCTCCTGAGATGACTCTCGTCATATCTTAATAATCGAAGTCAACTTGTGAACATAAATGGATATAGGTCTGCCTCTTTCGTGGTAACTTTTCAGGAGTCCCTCAGGGCTCACATCTGGGTCCTTTACTGTTTTCAGTGTTTATTAATGATCTGAACAGCTGTTTCAAAAATTCGCAGATACTGTTATATGCTGGCGATTTGAAGATATTCAGAAAAGTGCTGACAATTATAGGGACGCTGCTCAAAGATTCAAGAAGTTAGGTTCACTGAATATTGTAACCGTAACAAAATAAAACTCAATGTCAGCAAATGTGCGAGTATATCTTTCAGTAAAAACATTGTCCCTATAGAATTCCAATATCTACTGAATGATAGTATAGTCAAAAGAACGGACCGAATCAAGGATCTTGGTGTATACTTCGATACAAAAATGACTTTCAACCCACATTTTGAGTACCTACTCAATTCTTGCAATAGAGCTTTGGGATTTTTTTGCAGAACATGCAAGGACATTGATAATGAGGCAGCCATCAAATCTGTTTATTTTGCTTTTGTTCACAGCAAACTAAATTTTGCCAGTGTCGTATGGAACCCACATTATAATGTTTATAAATTACGATTAGAAAAACTCCAGAATAGATTTGTAAGGTTTCTCCACTTCAAAATAACGAAGGTTTACATAACTGTTGGCATCAGTGAAATTCGTTCTCTCAATAAAATACAGCTTCTAGAACAACGACGAATAATTACGGATTCACCCTTCATGTACAAAATCATAAATAATTGTTACGATTCTCCTAATTTAGTGTATATGATGTTTTATCATGTTCCTCAAAGATATACTAGAAATAGACAATTACTTACTAGTCCTAGTTACAACACAAATTTGGGAAAAAATTCTCCAATCACCAGAATGTGTTACTGTTTCAACAAATATTGTAATAATTTAGATATATTCTTCATGACATTTAATTCTTTCAAAATAACTGCAAGACATATTCTAAATTCTTAATCTTAATAATAAATACAATTCAGTTTATTACTGTACTTCTTAGACTACCGCAAGATCTATTATTATTGTAACTATATTAGTGGATGCTTGTATGGGTTTTACCTGTTTGTATCCCAAACTTGAAATAAATTAATAAATAAACTGAAGATTGATAATAATATATTGATAAATAAGTGTCCAAAATATTTTTCAGTAGGTGTTGAAATGTTTCAGTGGATCCGTATAGATCAATATGCAAATCAGGAGATCTACTGAAAATTCCGTAGAACTGGCAATCGTGCAGCGAACGAAAAGTTAATGTCTGCAGACAAAAAGTATTTGCCTTCGGAAATAGTCGGTTTCTCGTTGGAAATTAGAACGTGAAATGTGATTTTTTGTATAGGTCGACGAAAAATGTTTTTTCCTCAAAAAAGCAATAGCACAATAAATAATTACAACACGAGGTGAAAAACGAATTCCATTCACAAATTCACATCTCAACTATTTGCCAAAAATCACTTAACGTGATTGGACTGAGATTATGTTTTTTACTAGGATTACTCAATATAACCTCCACGAATATCATGAACATTTTCAATGTATGATTTTTAATAATTGTATATGATCTCATTTCATTCTTATAACGAACACTTCACCTGAAACATATATATCTATCATCTATAATCAGATATTTCAGAAAAAACATTTTTTTTTCCCAAATGACATCAAAAGTGGCTTGTTAATGACACTCAACAGGCAGAAAAACGGTACTTTTTCTGCCTAGGCAGAAGGAATTTATTGTTATGCAACGTTCCAAGAGATAATTTGAATCAAATTGGTAATCAAAATTGACACTGACGTTGGGTGAACACAAAATGATGGATTATTGGAGTTTGCGTGAAATTGGACGAATTTGGAGAAAAAATGATATGTTTCACACGGCAGATAAGCAGATTTAATGCCTTGGCTGGCTTCCTAGCCTCGGCTACGCCTTGGCTATGAAACGCCAGCCGCGGCATTGAATCTTGTGCTTTTCTGCCTAGTAAAACAAATAACTATTATTGATACACGTAGGTACTTTGTGCTGACCTGTCTATAGGTATATAAGCTCGTATTCTATCTATATATCATAATGGAAGGAATATCGAGAGGAATGTTTGAACCAATATTTGGGAAGTAAATAATGGACCTGATGAGGGCCGAAAGCCCAAAACACGCGTTTACTTATCCCATTTTGCAGTGTAGTGACGATAATAGGGCAGGAAGAAAATCTTACAGTCAACTCCACCAAAACTAAACTTCATTTAACATTGGGATATTTTTCGGAGCTTCAAAGCTTCATCATCGGTAAAAATTATTTGTTACAGGAAGTACGACTACAATAGGACAGACAGAAAGCTACGTCAGAAAAGAATTGAGATAATAAAAGTCGAACAATCCTCACCTGCTCTGGAAAAAATATTTCACATGATGAAAAATCGAAAATGTAATTTACATATTGAAAATTTTGTTGATGGAAATGAAGGGTCTGCAATTGAATGCAATTCACCTTAGTAAAATATGAATATCTTTATAATCAAGGAAGTAATTTGGGATTTCTTCAAGAAGTAAAAAGTTTGAAACATTGCTCGGCTCAGACAATTGAGACAATCGGACAGTGGATGGAAAAAACGAAGCAAATGGTGTCAAAAATCAAAACAGGTGCTTGAAATAGGATATCCTTGACATGAAGTGAAAGATGACACAAAACATCTTGACGTTGGGGTTGTCACAGAACTCTGCATAACCCCAACGTCAAGATGTATTGTGTCATTCTTCACTTCATGTCGAGGATATTCTATTTTATGTACCATTTTTTATTTTTGACACCATTTGCTTCGTTTTTTCCATCCACTGTCGAATTGTCTGAGCCAAGCAATATTGTTAACTGCTCGCTTACGTGTCACGTATATAGCAGCAATCTATGGAGAAATATGGTGAAACCTTAGCCGTGGCACTTGATATCTCCAAGGCATTCGATCGAGTCTGGCACCACGGACTCCTCGCCAAGCTTCCATCTTATGGCTTGCCTCCCCAGCTATGTTCTCTGCTAGCTAGTTTTCTTTCAAATAGGTCTCTCCATGTAGTATCATCGTATCATGAATACTGGTGTTCCACAAGGATCAATTCTAGCACCAACACTATTTCTACTCCATATCAACGATTTGTTGCGAGCAACTTCATGTCCAGTACACAGCTTCTCGGATGATAGTAACCTCCATATCACCTTCTCTTCCAGGTCTCCAATACCAGCCGGGCAAATCAGAAACGAACGAGGGAGAAATGTTGACCACATAAATATGGACTTAGCAACAATTCTCGAATGGGGATCCGATAACTTGGTAGATTTCAATGCAAACAAAACACAAGCATGCCTTTTCTCTGAAAAAGCCGATCACACTGTGCCCAACATAAGCTTGTCAGGAGTAGCCATACCTTTGAAGACATTCATTTCGATGTTTGGTAATACTAGCAGCAATAACCTCTCTTGGGAAAATCACGTGAGATCTTGGTTTTCTGTTTCGGGCCAGAAGCTATTTCCATTCCAGTCAGCTGCTTATGATCTATAAGGCACAGATCCGACCTGTCATGCAATACTGTTTATATATTTGGAGTGCAGCACCCAAACATACCCTGAAACTGTCGGATTCGTGGAAGATGTCTCGCTCACAAACTCACTCACTTCTTTGGAACATCGTAAAAAAGTTGGCGATCTGCCTCTATTTTATAGATATTCTCATGGACGATGCTCTTCTGAAATATCAACAATTGTCCCCCCGAGATTAACCCGTCGAGTGGAGGCCTCGCACCCCTTGGTGATCACTTTGGAGACCTGCAGAACATCTCTTTCCAAAGACTCGTTCATCCAACGAACAGCGAGGCTCTGAACACATTGCCAAGGGAGGTGTTCCTTCCACCATGCCCACCTTCATCATGGTGAGAATCCAGAGAAGGTGGGCATGATGGTAATTGGGAATCGTGGGAATTGGACATCGTGAGAATATATGAAAAATGAACATGGTAGGGATCCAAGGAAGGTGGGCATGGTGGGAATTACGCATCGTGGGAATCTTGTGTTTTCTGAATTTGTCTCTTTAACTGGCAACGTTGCGCTCTTCGGAAATTTTCGTTATCGTCGACATGAAAGTGGGCAAGCATCGTTGGAATTGGGCATCGTGGAAATTGGGCATCGTGGGAATTGGGCATCGTGGGATACTCCCGTTTTGGTGGAGTTGACTGTGAGATCCTCTTCCTGCCCTACACGTGTTCACGGTTGACTCTATCAATTTTTTCAGTTGTTTATCCATTTTCATCCAGGTACTTCTTGCATACGCCACGTTATCCTGAGCGCCAGCAAAACCCTCACCGTCCACCAATGGGAGATCCTGGTCGTGGCTATCCACAGGGCGTGCACCTCGACCTTGGACCCTCTCCGACAGCTCAGCCTGGCCTTCAAGGAGAACTCGGACAGCTTCTACGGAGACCTGGCGACCGTCAAAGTGGCGGCCAGGAAAGACGCGACGATCGCGCAGAACGAGCGTCTCTACGACCTGGCTCAACAAGTGTTCTTGATGCAGTCGCAAAGGCAGTGCAACAAGTGTCCAGGAAAGGTGTGTACGAAAGCGTGGAGAGGCCATTGTTGGGTGGTTGAAATCTTTTATGGACACCAAATGGGTCCAATCCCCCATGTATTATGATAGAGTGGGAGTCCCCTGACTCCAGGTATACCCACTAAACACTCCATCTTATTATCTTTGTATTGAGACTTTTCTCTCGGAAAGTATCCATTATTTCTCATTCATTTATAGAAGATATTACTCGAACAGAATGACATGAGTATACCCGGTAAAAACAGGCGTTATATTCACATACATATGCCGTCAATTTCATAATATAAGTAACGAATACACCTGTTTCGCTAACAATGTTAGCATCTGCAGGATAAGATCACAACTATTGATATCCAATTCTAGTGTGCTGCTTATATATTAGGTATATGTTAATCCAACCGTGAAAACTACTAACCGTCGAGTTGATGTTTGTCATGGTTGGGTTCACATGTTGATCTTAATCTTTATATCACTAAACTACAGTTCTCAACACACTAAATGGACCACTCATAATTTGACTCTATTTCGAAGACCTGTATTTTTTTTTAAATTGACCGATCTTCATGCGGTTTTCAATATTAGATGTGATGTTTCATCGGCTTCAAAGAGAGCTAGAACACTCTGAAGTAGTCCGCAGAATGAAACTTACACAGGGTGTGAAGTGGAACCATTACACTATGGACTACATTTCCAATGCTGCCAGAACTCGAGAAATTTTTTTCTGAGCAAAGGTCAGTCATATCATGATACACTGGGACCTCATCTCGGGACATTTTTGTGATTTTTCCTTAATTGGCCATTGGAACAAAAATTCGATTTTTTTTTCGAAAGTCTTGCATTTTTTGAATTTTTTCTCTAAAGCTCCACTTGAGCTGACTATTAGGGAGAACTTTTCTCTCATGTTCTGTGGAGCACAATGAAAAAACACTATTGTGGAATATACAGGATGATAAGAAAATAGGACAAAATCTCATTTCAGTATAAAAAATCAAAAATGGTGACTAAAACCATTGTCCATTCGATTAAGTATATTCATAAACGTTCTACTCGATATCCATTTGCGAATTCTCAATGTATTCCTTTATTTTTATATCCATTTTTTGTGTTCATAATTATATCTGAGAATATATTCCTTTTCAATCAGATGAAGAAGTCTGAATTCAAAGAAACAAGTTACAATTCAGGAATGAAACTCTGAATTCAAAGAAAAGAGTCTGAATTCAGAGAAAGAAGCCAGAAGTCAGATAAAAAGTCTAAATTCAGGGAAGAATGTCTGAATTCATAGATAAAAGTCCAAATTCAGATGAAAAAGTCTGAATCTAGAGATAAAAGTCTGATTTCGGAGAAATAAGTCTGAATTCAGACAAATAAGTCTAAATTCAGAGAAACAAGCCTAAATTCAGAGAAAGAAGCCTAAATTCAGAGAAAAATGTTTAAATTCAGAGAAAAAATTTCTGAAGTCAGATAAAAAAGTCAGAATTGAGATGAAAAAGTCGAAATTCTGATATAAATGTCTGGATTCAGAGAAGAATGTCTGAATTAAAAAAAAGTCAAGATTCAAAGAAACAAAAAATGGTCTGATTAAGCGGATGAAATAAGTTACACCTGTGTAACAATGTGACTTTTTTACGCTTTCGTAGGTATGCGAGTGCGAAGTAGCCAGAGGAGTCGTGGTCGATGACAGGAGCTACGTTTTCCTGCTGTACCCGCTGGACAAGAGCGACGTTTCGACGCCGGACCTCTACGCCGTCAGAGTCCCCTTCAAAAACCTGGTAATCGGGATCTTAGCCCACCAAATGCTGATCCAGACCGTTTCCAGCGCCCTTCTTCAAAATCTCAACCACATCACGCCGATTCTGAACATACTCCAGATAAGCTCTTGCAGCCTGCGTGGTATCTTAACCAAGGTCAATGCCAAGCACGTGGACGTCATGTTGAAGTGCTTGGAGGTGTCAAATGTCAGAGCTAGAGCTTTCGATGCTCGACCAGGTCTGAAGTTTTTGATGCAGAAAGTAGGTAATCTGAGCAAAGCTGCGAATTTGTACACCCAAGCAAACACCTCTGAAGTAGTGCAGATAATCGTGCTGATCGAGCTGTGCTTGGATGGTATCGAAAAGTACTCGATTGAGCCGAGTAGCCTCAAGGATATTTTGGCGAGGGAGGAGAAGAAAAAGTGTTTGACGGATTCTGATTATGTGGAGAATTTTCTGAAGAAGTTGCATACTAAGTGGAGTCGGTTGTGCGAGTCTTATGCTAGTTTGACGTTGGTGATTCCAGATGGAGTGGGGGATGATAGTGATGGAGATTGTGGGGCAGAGATGTATATTAAACCACCGTTCCAGCCATTCAGGTAATGATGTAATTTTGTCACATGCACGAGAGCTTTTTTTGTTGAAGTAAATTTGGTTTTCAAAGAAGATTTCACACCTACATTTTCGATCAATTGAAAGCATGTATTTTGTATAGTTTCACCATGGCAAATGAAAAAAAGTCTGGAAATAATGGTTTCCTCCTCCTTGGAGGAAATAGGATCGGTATGTATGGGTGTTCCTCAGGGATCTATATTGGGACCGATTCTCTTCTTGTTGTACATCAATTGATTTGAAGCTAATATAATCCACTCAGATTTCGTTGCGTACGCGGACGATATATCCATTTTGAAGTCATCAACTGATTTTTATTAAAACAAGAAACCGAGAAATTACTAGACGCCGCTTGTAAGTTTTTCAATAACCACGATCTATATTTCAACGGTGAGAAAACCCAAGTAAATCGTTTTCATAACTATAAACAGCCATCAGTTCAATTTCAACTGGATTTCAATAAAACAGTCTTGTCCGATAAGGATACAATTAAATTTCTTGGACTTTACTTCGATAAACACGTCAACTGGGTGTCACACTGTGAGGGTCTGATCTCAAAATTACACTCATCCTATTACATGTTCAAGAACTTAAAAACAGTACTAGATGTTGGCCAGCTCGTAAATATCTATTATGCACAAATTGAATCGCGCCTTCGTTATGGCATCTGCTTGTGGGGCATCTCTACCAAGTCAAAAAATGTTTTCATTGCTCAAAAGGCAATTATGAGGTGCATTTTCAACATACCTCGTAGAGAAACTTGCAAACAAATTTTTCAATCCAGTAATATTTTGACTCTCACTAGTTTATACATATTTGAGATTGCATGTTATATTTATTGCAACATAACCTATTTCAAACTTAATAAAGACATTCATAACATGAATACTCGCCAGAAAGGCCTAATTCATACACAAATTGGAAAATACAAAGTAGCCCAAAATGCACCTAACTTCATAGGACCACGTTTTTTCAATCATTTATCTGAGAATATTAAATCAAGTTTAACACTTAAAGTTTTCAAAACGCGCCTCAAAACATTTTTGGTACAACATTCTTTTTATATTGTGCAAGATTTCTTGGATTGTCCGGTACAGTGATATTCTTCTTCTTCTTCTTCTTCTTCGAAGCACTGGTGGGCGGGTGAACCCCCTGCACGTGGGCCTCCTTATTCGGGCCCATTGTGCGCCCACATGTTACGACATTCAGCTGGGTATGCCGACTGCCTTGGAGAAGTTCAGCAGCTTCCTCAGCTGAATCTCTTTTATGTCCTCTGGCCTCAAAATTATGTGGCCAAGGACAGCCCTCCTCTGATGCGTCAGTGCTGGACACTCAGTGAGGACATGTGATGACGTTTCGTCATCTTCCAGGCACCATCTGCAAAGGGGGTCATCCTTGATCCCAATAAGCTCTAGGTGCCTATTGAGGTGGTTGTGCCCCGTTAGGAGCCCTACTACCATTTTAAGGTTTCGCCTGTTTAGGAATAAAACCTCTTTTGCGAGCCTCTTCGAAGGTTCCTTTATGTGGAGCTTCGATTGTCTCATTCCTGGTGTGTCCTGCCATATTTTGAGGAATTGCTTTTGCAGCTATTCCTCTATAGAGGACATTGCCAGGCTATTTGGTATTCCCAAGATTGGTTCCGGTCCGACCGCGGTCCGTCCGGAACCGATCTTTGCCAGTCTGTCCGCCTCCTCGTTTCCGGGTATTCCCGAATGTCCCGGGACCCACATGAGGCTGACTTTTCTTGATTTTGCCAGGTTTTCCAAGGCTTTTCTGCACTCGGACACCAATTTGGATGTGATCCTATTGGATTGCAAAGCCAGTATTGCAGCTTTGCTGTCCGAGCATATAGTGATTGGTCTACGACCTCTCATAATTAGGTTTTCTTGGACGCAGGTGAGTATTGCAAGTACTTCTGCCTGGAACACTGAGGCATATTCGCCCAAAGGAACTGAAATTTCTTTACCTGTTTCTTCATTGTATACCCCTGCACCTGAACCGCCCCCAAATCTTGAGCCATCCGTGTACCAGATTGAGTACAGTGATATTTTATTTTATTTTGTACTGTATTTCTTTTCTGTATATCTATGTATTGTGTGTTTTATGTATTTTTCAAAAATTTTGACGTTTCCGACACAATGTACTATTGTCTAAAGGAATAAAGATTTGATTGATTGATTGATTGATTGATTGGGGAAATGGGTATGAAATCACACTGGTAATTTCTTGACGTTTATTGAATTATTGATTAGTTCCTTGCAAGGATATATTTCTACCAACTTTAGCTGAATGAATTTTCAAAAAACTGATAAGATATTGAGCTACTTTCGACTAATTTTTCATCATTGAATTCAACTGAAGTCGTTTATTCATATTTTATTCAACCTAATGATGAAACGTGAACACACTCCATTATTATTACTAGATAGTACTTCAACTTTAGTAAAATGATTTTGTGAAAAACTGAGAAATTGAGCTACTATATCGACTTATTCCTCATTCTTTTGTGTTTTATCTAACCTACCAAAGTTATGGATATGAATTATACACTACAACACTGTTTAACCACCAATCAAACCGATTTTTTACACCTCTACACGTGTTTCGCTAACTATGTTAGTGAATATAGACAATAACCGTCAAGCTAATGTTATTCATGGTTCCCAGTAAACATAAACATCCCTGGGATGTCACATTCATATCTCGCTAGGTGACTATGCGATTCACAACAAAACATCATTGGTGTTGCCAGGAGACTCCTCATTTCATGAAACATTCGCAAAATTCGTCACATTTTATTGGATTTGTTACTCAAAATGTAGGCGAATTTGTGAGGCTCCCTAACAACCAAATGACTCACAGAAACCTCACATTCTTGTCTATTTATGTAACATACCGAATCAATCATCAATCAATTTTGATGTAGAATGAGGAGTGGCATAATACGTACTGTTGAGTTCAATAATGTGAATCATTGGGACGTCCCGATTGTCCCAGGTCGACGTCCAGCTAACGTTCTTAGGACGTCCATGTTGTCATCTGGGAGCCACTGTGTTTTTATTCGTGATTTACTATTCAAAAATTGCATGCTGATGATAGTCCAAAGGAATTACGTGCTTGCAAAATCATGGTTCATATGAAAATGTTTGCAATAGAACTGTATACAGGGTGATACACATAACAACCGACATAGGGCAGGGGCATGTAGGGGGTCCCATAATATGGCAATTTAACGCAACTTACCTCTATACCAAGTTACTTCCCTAAGGAGTTATAGGCGTAGCACTAACAGCATGTCAACTTGCTCGTTAAAAGAAAACTTCCCGTTCATTTAAAAAATACTCGAACAACAATCACTTGATTGAACAACTCACTTGCCTCATTGTCAAGTTTGACGTTTATTTTCATAGCCAACTTTTGAAATTTCGATGATTTCAAATAACACACCTAGAGCGCGCGTTTTCAGTTATTCGAGTTTTTGATGAAAATGATGAGGTTTTTCGAAAAATTACTTGACTAAGAAAAGTTTTAGAATTGAATTGCCCACGGAACAAAGCAGAGATTTTCGAAATCCATCAAGGGTTAACAAAATTATGTTGAATATTGATGGTGCGCCACCCGGTATACCCCCTTTACAAATTTCAATCAAACTCTAGTTACTGTCAAGTAACGCCCTAAATACATCCACGAAGTGTAACAAATTTGGTTGCTTTAAGTTCAAGAATAACGAAGATATTTCAAAATTTATAACTTCACTTTCAAAGCCTATATCTCCTTAGGGAAGCAACTTGGTATAGAGGTAAGTTGCGTTAAATTGCCATATTTTGGGTCCCCCTACATGCCCCTGCTCTATGTCGGTTCTAATGTGAATCACCCTGTATATATGCTAAAAAGCAAATCGCATATTTGGGAGAACGACGATCGACGATCTAGCCTACAGAGCCATCTAGTAGAAAAGGGTAAAGCTGTTTAAACAAGTTGAAACAGTCCACTTATACCTTGACACTTTTGCCACTAGATGACTCTGAAGGCTAGATTTTCCTTCTTCCCAATTCGATCATCACTCAGGTTGTCTGACTTCAGACAAGAAGACAACGACAATATCAGCATGAGCTCCGATTCTGACAGCTACCTGGAGAAGGGCGCTTTACCGAACTTGAAAATCGATGACAGCCTCATCGAGATAACCAAACAAACCCAGCTGAAACACAGCTTCAGTCTAGACGACAGTTTGCTGCGGAAGGAAAGCAAAATCACTGTCGCGGACAGCACATCCACAGACGATGAAACCAATGAACTCGCTGCAAAATACAACACCAAGCTGGTCTACCAAAAATACAAAACCGAACTGAACGCGATCAAGTACGACAAAAATACTTTGCTACAAATGCGATCGACTGTTTCGACGGATAACTTACATTTGAGTTATCCTTCTGAGAGGAGGGTGGGGGATATGTTTCCGTACAGAAATCAGGCCGAAGAGAACGTGAAGATGGCTTCTAATCCGGCGGGACTGATGGGGACGAATCAGTTCATATCGACGAGTATCCCGCCACCGCAGCCAGTGCCGGCGGAGATTCAGCAGCAGAGAGCTATGAGCATATTCAAGGTGAGAGGACACATCCCAGATAGCACCAAGTACAGGGTGATTGTTTATATTTCACTAAATAGCTACCTCAGTTGAAGTTGGTCTTACAAAAACGTTCAAAAGGGCAAAAATGAAGTATTTTTCATGAGCATTCAGAATCTAGTACAGTTTCTCTAAAAATGATCGTAGCATCGTAGTGGTTGTTGACATTTTTTGTCCATTTTCCGCTTTCTACTAATGCTGTTAACTATAGTCACTGGAGATTATTGGTAGATATAAACTGCCCAACACATGAAACGTAAAATCGCATTTTTTCGATCAAAGTTGATTCATCATAACTTTCGATTTCCTCAACCGATTTCCAATTATTTTTCAGTCCCCGAAGCCCGTTTATTTGACTATC